CTTTTGCAAGGTTTGCTAAAAAAAAAAGTTAATTTCTCATTGTGTCTTTCTTTCTTGTTTGAGTACCAATACAATGATGTAAAAATACTGCATTACAAGTAAAATTCAAAATGCTGCTTTTGTTAAACCTATTACAGGGAGTTCTTTGCTGATTATAAACAATGTCAATTTAATATTGATGGTTCTATATGACCTACATAAACATACAAGATCTGCAAGAAGATTGGTTATTTCTATAAAGTTATTATTATTATTGTTATTATTTATTGCCTTTATTAGATATAAGCAGCTGAAGAGTGACAGGAAACTGGGGGGAGAGAGAGAGGGGATGCAGCAAAGGGCCTTTGTCCATGGGCACAAGGTGAATTGCCATGGCCCCCCTATATATGTATGTCGGATTCGATCAGATTCCCTTTGAAATCAATGAAGCGAGATGGTGGAAACACTACCACTTTTGTTGTTTAATCAGGGGGTCATAAGATATTTCTGAGAGATAATGAGTTGATAAATGTTGGAAACAAGAAAATACAAAGGTATATTACACATATTTATTAGTTTTGTTGTGAAATATTGGAAAACTTATTTAAGGAAAACATCTAAGGAGCTCCAAGAGGAAATCACTAACTGCTAACAACTCATAAACATCATTTGACAAGAGGCCAAACTAGACACTTATCGTAAGGAGTCAGCACATTGTATTTTTAAGGGTATATTTTTTTACATGTAAAATGTTAATTTGAAAAGTAACTGTAGTTGTCAAATAATGGGGAGTAAACAGAACTATGTTTCCCTCTGAACTGTAGTGGAGTCAAAGTTTGAAGTAACATAAAATAGAAAAACTCAAGTAAAGTACAATTACCTCAAAACTGTAGTACGGCACTGGAGTAATCAGTTTCTTTCTACCACTGGATCAGAGCATGTGGAGGTTTAGTGTCTTGTTTCCTTCCTTTGTTTTCTAAAAATTTTGTTTTGAGAAAAAGAAAAACATTTTCAGGATACTTCAGGAGAATAAAAATCTGGACATTTTGTCTTATAAACCAATTTCAAACACGTAATCTTTTCTTGAAAATTGGTATTTTTGAGTCAGTAGAAGGGCGTCATCTATCTCCGTGGGATTAAATAAAAGCTGCGATCTTTGAAGCTCATTATCTCCAAACTACCCTGAACTGTGTCAGAACCTTTTAATGCAAAGCTTACGACACATTAGAGCAAGTACAAGCAATAACATTCACACAAGGCCTCTGAAAATCTATCCTTATCAATATTTGATTAGATAGAGAAAGTAAGACTAATTTTTCTTTCCTAACCACCAGCTCAGTTCAGACTGTGATTGTGCCACCCTGATTTACGGCCACAGAATAAAAGCAGTAGTGATGTATTTTTAATACTTACCTCTGACAGAGTGCTCTGGTGGAGTGCCCTGTTGAAACCTGGCCAACAGCCAGCCAAGTGATAGATTACACACAGCCACAACCCGGCAGAGGTGCAGCGTCGCGTCACCAACACAAAGGCACTTGTACCTTTCTTAAGGCTTTCTTGAAGTCATTAATTAAACCAAAGTTGCTGTCTTAACTTCTTCAAGATTGGGGGTCTCTCAAAAGGACACAGGTATGATAGCAGTTTACATATGAGTAACCAAAGCTGCAGGAAATACTGCAGTCTCTCTAAACTGCTTCACAGACAATAAAACACACAATAAATATTTGATGAGAAGTACTGAAAATAGACAAAAATATATAGGAATGAATTGTGGATCATTTAACACAATCTGTGCTCTGGCGTCACATTTAGTCATTCACTTGTCATGTCAGTCACAGCAGGTTAGGATGTAAAATCAATCCTTTATTTGCAATAACATTAGTTGCTCCAAGAATGGTTTCTCCTCTGAGGGTTAAAGACATTACACTTCAAATTAAATAACATGTCGCACATTTGTCAGACTGCAATCTCATTTTGACAAACATAACACATTCAGCAGAGCACATTAGAACTGCAAAATTTGTCTCTGAAGAGTCTGAAAGCATAAATCTTGTGTCATGTGCTATCACAGGGGTCAGAGGTCACCAGGATGTCAGGGGTCATACTGGATATGGGAGCGCGGGGTCCATCTGCCATGCTTGGCACATACAATGGATCATCTCCTTTAAGATTTAAGAGGACAGAAGCATGAAGTAATGAGTCAGACTTGAAGGAAGAAAATCACCAAGAAGGCGTCCTACATTAGCATTTTAAAGACTTGCTGCCCTCGTTCACACTGGCTTAGAGCGAGTTCATGGGTTAAATGTGCTTAAATCCAGATCCTGACATCCTTTCAGACAAGCGAGGAGAGAAAATGGCAGCAAAATGTCAGTCACAGAACCCAGAAGTGACAAAATATTTCATGACTTTGTGAATTTAGAAAAGTAAGAAATGAAGAGACACAAGTGAAAAGTAGATCATGTTTATCTGTAATATACATTATTTATGGACACATGAACAATGAGCAACTTAAGACAACTTTATTCTTGATTTTTTAAATAACTCAAGGTTACTAACTCTTTCTTGAACACATCTCAAGGACTGTATGAGCAGTGTTGGGCAGTAAATCATTACCAGTAATAATATTACTTCCCCAGTAACTACTAGTGGAAGGAATATCAGTAATAATATTATACTTACCCCCTCTAAAAACATGACTTTAATTGTCCCCTTTACTGATTTGAAATCCAACAATCCACTCACATCCTTGGATTCATTTTTGTAATCCAGGAGGAAACTTGCTTGGAAGATATTTCCATTACTTTGATTTTAACAAACAAAACTGGATTTCAATTTTCTTTTTCTTTTTGGGGAGAAGGGAAACAATTGAACATTTTATAGTAGTAGTAATATAAAAGTGCCATCATGTGACCTGAGGATAGAACTTCAGTGACCTATAATAATAACAGGTGAGAGTATGATCAGTGGGAATAGATGAGAAGAATATGAGTTACAGATTAAAGGAAAATGGAGGAATATATGTGCTTCTGAGGGGATAAATGAAGTAATTTATTATAAATTGAAGTATTTTCTTATTCTGTTCTGTTCTGTGGAACTAGAATGTAATGTGCCTTGAAATGAGATGTATGAATGTAAATAAATAAATCTGTGTTACATTATTACAACCTGGATCTTATTTTCCTAGTTTTGGTTATTGTTACTACCAGTAATGTTTTCCATTGTATTCACTGAGTAATTACTGAGAGCTATCTGATCGTCTGACTGCTCATGTTTTTTGCCCCTTGTGGGCCTAATTGTTAGGACGTGATATCTATAACAAATTCTGCAGCTGCAGTCTTCCATAGAGAAGAATCAAGTGACCACAGCAAGATAAATCAAGATTAATTCATCCTTAGGAGGATACTGACGGTTAAAGGTAAATAAAAGAACGTGTTTGTATTTGTTTTAAAGGGGAATTTTACTTGACTGTGGCACAGAAGACAAGAAGTCAGAGCAGGGTGTCACTAGAAATCAATAGAAGTCATCCTCTGGGGATCGTGAATCCATGAATCTATACTAAATTTTACGGTAAACTGAGCAGTAGTTGTAAAAATAGATACAGTTTCTTTGTGTGAAAGACAGCGTTTGAAGGATGGATGAGCAAATATCTAACTACATTTCCAAAGGCCACAAACAAGCAGAGAAATGACTGCGGAGAATCAGTGGGACAATAGTTACTTCAACATTTAATCTGATCAACTGTGAGCTGAGTCAGTCCCTATCAGTCTGTATGTCTTTACTAATCCTCACATAAACTAACCTGATTTTCAGATTTGTCCAGAAAGGCAAAGTGAGAAAGTTTTCTTGGTTACAACGATAGCCTGAAGGAGAAGTTGCAGGGGGACAAAATGCTACATTAATAATTTATATCACACATTTGTTGAAGGCAGTTTTACTAGTTTACACTGATACTTTCATTATTTATGGGGCTACAGTTCATGTCTGTCGAGGCTGCTGTGAGGAAATCTGACGGACTGAAAGAACACCAAAGCAAAAATATCTTACCAGCGGCGGATTGTCGGGTTGTTTGAGGGGCAACGGTGGAAAAAATCAAAAAGCCACCAGTGCACTGAAAACTGTGATGCATTTATGGTAAAACAGCTTAGTCAGGGTTAGGATCAGCACCCTAGAGGGCACTTTATCACATTTTGTCCACTGGAAAGGCACCGTAGAGGGCACTTTATTGGATTCTGTGCCACAAATGCAGCTGCACTTAATGTTTAGTGCTAAATTGAACATGCTAACATGTTAAAGATTACTAACATGGTGAATTCAATGCAAGACATGTTAGCATTGTCATTGTGAGAACGTAAGCATGCTAATGTTAATCTGGTTTTACAAACAACAAATATTTTTTATTAATGTTACAAATGACAAAGAGTCTACATATTGTTTTAGAGATCTTTCCAACTGGCCAAAATTAAAGGTTATTGATAATGATTGACTGCATGGATTTAAAGGTACTGAATATAGAAACAAATTAATTTAAAATATTGGTGCCTGTATAAAAACGCCTACATCAGTCACAACACGACCTTTTCAAATCCTCACACTGCTGCTGACATGTGACGTGTTGCACTTCATGTTAATTTGATCAGCAGACAAGCAGAAACAATAAAATACACAATTAGGAATCTTAACAGCTTTTTAATATAAATTGTGTATTTTTTGTTATTTATTAGCCTAACTGAGAAACTGAGCGCTTTTATTTGATTACATTTGTTAAATGTTCAGACATGCTACATTCCTGATCATTCATAGTGAACCACTGGAGGGACACCACACTCACTGAAAGCTGGAAATAAATAAAAAAAAACTGTGACCAATGTTGATGCTCATGTGGTTTCTCTTCCTTCTTGAAAAACTGAAGGCCAAAGCAGAGCAGGAGGGTGAGGAGGAGTGGGGAGGGGGGAGGAGGGAGGAGGAGTGGGGAGGAGGGAGGAGGGAGGCAGTCACATGGGAATCAATCAGGCTGCTGTCACATGGTTTATGTTTGCAGGCTGCTGAGCTGAGGGGAGGAGGAGTTTTGGAGAGAAGTTTGTGTAAGAGAAAAGCAGCGGTATTCTTTCATGTAACCTCCCTCAACAAGTAGTAGAGCTGCTTCACCAAACAGCCTGTTATGGAAATCCCAGCCATAAATCTAAAGGTGAGTGTGCCTTTTACCTGATTGTAACGTTGAACTGTTAAACACAGACTGGTGTTAAATGATGTGATAATGTTGTTGCTCAACTCTCTTTGGTAAATCCTCTGTGTGGCAACTACCTGCCTCTGCTTGAGACACAGATCACAGTAACAAGTGAAATGTTGGTGTTTATTGTTGAGTGGTGGAAGAGAATTGTAAAGTTATTTTAAGATATACCCCACCAAAAACATGTTAAAGTGCATCTTAGATCAAACATTGTTATGTTTTAAGTGATGTGCTGCTATGGACAGAGTTTTGGATGTTAGAAACACAAACATTATTTGAGATAATAAGAAGATATCTTTATGTAAAGCTTTAAAACTGGATATGAAAAGAAATGTGTTATATATCATATGAACCAAATAACAATATCTTTTATGAGGCAATAGCTATTCTGTAAGAAACATGCATAAGTGAACTGATGCCTCTGTGTCAGATCATAACCTTTTTAAAAAAGAAGAAGCATTTAATTGAATTATGCCTTTGTGCTGTTCTTTAAAGGCTAAAATGGTTCAAAAGCAGTTTGAATAGCTCTTATTCAAAGCCCAGAAACTTTGAAACATGTGATGTGAAAAATAGATCTGTAAGGTAGCTAAAGGAGCACTCACACTGTGATTTTTTTTTTGGGGGGGGTGAAATGGTGAATTTTCTGAATCATAATTTGGGTTTAAAAAGTTAGAACCAGTAATGAGTGGAACAATGAAATCAATCATCCGGATGAAGCTTCACATTTGATGCCAGATGAAAATTGATCACATGTTTTACGTTTAGTTCTGGTCTTTCTGGCTTTGTGAGCTCACGTAGATTAAACTACTGTAGGGCTGCAACTAATAATTATTTTAAGTATCAATGAAATAATTCATTATTTCTTTAATTAATTGTGTGGTCTATAAAGTGTTAGAAATTACCAAAATATGTTAATGACAGTCAGATGTCCTTATTTGTCCAACCAGCTTCCAAACCCTAAATATATTCGGTTTACATAGAAGCTGGAGCCACTCACTGTTTGAAGGTTTTAGTGGATAAATAATTGATCGATTGTCAACATTTTTGGCGATTCATTTTCTGTCTATTGTCTAATTGCTGTTGACTGAACTGTCCCAAACCACGTGGAAAGTATTAAAAAGATCCTTTACAATGCTGTATTTCTTTTTAACACGTCTTTTTCTCTATCATAGGCCATAGTACTGGTGCACTGGCTGTTGACAATATGGTGAGTTCGAGCACAGGTTTTTTTTTTTTCTTCACAAACCTGAGGAATTTCTCTCCTCGTCTGGCACACACACACACACACACACACACACACACACACACACACACACGGACTCACAGTCTTGATTCAGGCCTAGTCTTGAACCTCCACATCCCGTACTTGTGAAATCAAACATAATTCTTGAGATGTGACTCTGTCTCGTATGAACTGTGTGTTTGCTTTAGGGGATGCATGGCGTGGCTGCCCTCCTCCTTCGCTTGGGGGAACTTCAGTGTTTTAGCTGTTGGGTTGTGGGCCATTGCACAGAGGGACTCAATCGATGCTGTGCTCATGGTGAGTCTTTGCCTTGATTTCTTCATGCAGGCTGCAATCTTAACATCATGTGACACATACAGGAGTCTAACTATAGGCACAGCAATGCGTATCCGTGCTAACCTATTTGTCTGTGGAATCTAGGACAATCTGTGAGCATCCCTTTGAGAAAGCAGGCCTTCCCTTAATTCAGCAAAGAGTACAGTAGGCTGTGGTTTTCATGGTTTGCAGACTGTAGTGTTAGGCCAGTCTGCAAGGGTTTGTTTGGATTTTTGAAGTGGGGTTGTATAAGCTACTTATCCATAGTCAGTGTATTGTCTATAGTAGATGGCAGTGGGCATTCCCCAGTTTGAAGAAGCAGACAGGAGTACCGGCACAGAAGCTAAGCTATGCACTGTTGAGGACTGAGGGCAGCAACAAAACATATTTTAGCCACTCAAAAAAGGCCCTGGTAGCTCACCTGGTAGGGCTGGCCCCCCATGTACAACGGCGGAGTCCTTGCTGCAGCAGCCATGGCTTTGACTCTGACCTTTGCTGCATGTCTTCCCCTCTCTCGCTCTACAGACAGCCCTTTCCATCGTGAAACTGAAACAGTTTATTAGTTATATCCATCTATGCTCTCTTCAAAGCCACCAGACTGCTACGACAAAAACAGTAATTTTATCTTGCCGAACACGCAGGTTGCTAGTATACTGCTGCCTCTATGAGTTAGTTTGTTATTATGTGACTTTTGTGTTTTAATACTTCCATTTTAACTCCCTTTTTTTTTTTAGGTGGCCAAATACTTTTTTTCTGCTGCCCCTGTCCACAGCAGAGCATTGCTTAGTGTCTGCTTCTCCAAACTGGGAACTAGTCCTTTTAATTTTAGATTAGTGTGATGCAAGTTAGACTGTTTCACAAAAAAAAAAAAAGACTGACTAATTTTAAGCCTCAAAAGTTACCCACCCTATCCAGAATCTGAACTACGGTTCAGTCAGTGCCGGCTGCTGACCAGTGGCACCAAATTGCAAAAAAGAGGAAAACATGGCTCATCATTTGTGGTTTGCTAAGAGGAAGGAAAAGAGATTTTAGAGCGTGTAGTAACCTGTGGGAAATATACAGCAGGGAGTAGTTTTTCTATTTGCACATAGAAGCTGTCCTAATCCTGACGGAAGAGTAAGCAGAAGTATTGAGCTCTGCCACATTAATAAGCCAAAGCCTCTCAGCTCTGCTAAAGGTCTGTGGTGCAGTGAGATTTTATCCTACTGGAATTACTGGAATTTGTTTGAATTTTCCAGTTACATGTCCTTTTTAACTTTCGAATTTTGAAAGACTCGTGGAGTGAAGAGAGCGGAGTAGCTTGATGCGAAGGGTCGATCAGTCATATTTTTTTTTAGTTTGAAAAAAGTCTATTTCTAATTCATGGAAAAGTAGACAGCTTTTAATTTAGACGTCCAATCTTAGTTAAGTTGAAGTCTATCTTTGTGAAAGCTGTCACAGACTGCCACATTGGCTGTGAAGATGTGCCAAACAAATACACCACAGGAGAGGCACCTAAAAAAAAAAATAGCTGTCCAGCGTCTCTTTCAATGACACTTTTGACAGTAATGGATTCTGACTGTCAGTGCCATCACGAAGCAACTATAGGGGAGCCTTTTACCTTGTGAATGTTAAAGTCTACTTTCAGGGTTCCTCAGAAAAGACTGAGCTGGCAAAAGGATGTTAATGTACAGGATTCTTTGTGGTTCATGATGCATCTTCAACATCACTCATTCAATTGTACAAGATAGAAGCTAGTCCTGCTATCTCATGTGCATGTGTCAATGTGTTTTTTCTAAATGATTAACTCTAGGGTTCAACATTAAAAATGTCTGAGGTGATTTGAGTGTATCTTTTTGTAAACGCATCACATATTTAACTGACATTTCTTTCTTCGTTGGCTTCTGGAGAATAATTTCTCAACTCAAAATAAGGATTTTACTGTCTCAGATAATAAAGGCAATAGAGTATTTTTAAATTCAGTGTTTTCTATCTTATTTCTTTCTGCACAGCTTGCATTTTTCCTTCTGACTTTCTGGCACCACTTAGATATTTATCTCATTTCTACCAACAAAGCTCTCTTTTTTTTTTTTTTGTTCAGAATTGGAATGACTTTATTTTCCACACAGTATGCTGCAAAGAATATTTCCCGGTGGCATAATTAGATGAGATGTGTTGGCACTTCAGAGCATGAAAGCACTTTCCATACAGTACGTTCAAAAGTCTGACACACCATCTGTGCCCATTAAGACGTCTTTCTCTTTTGTTCTTCTCCTGTAGTTTCTGATGGGGATGGCTGTGACGATATTGACCGACATCATCCATTTTGGGATCTATTATCCGCTGAATGACTTTGCAGTAGAAAGGGGGAGGGACGTGTTTCGCTTCAGCGCAGGAATGGCCATCCTCAACCTGCTGCTCAAACCTGTGTCCTGCTTCTTTGTCTACCAAATGTACCGCGAACGTGGAGGAGATTACAACGTTAACTTTGGTGAGTACAGTGATGTGGGGAGTTTGCAGACTTTTTAAGGAAGTGATCGTATGTCCCTATAAGGATGGTTGTAAAGAAGGGTGGGTTCTGCACAGACTGTCTGCTCTGATATCAACATGAATTTAAGAGAAGGCTCAAACCACAAACTAATTATTTTTAACGAACTGAAACGATATTTGTTTTTGTAAAACAAACTAAGATATAATGAAAATGTAGTCAATGTCAACACAACAAATGGCATTGGTGCATATGTTTATTGAGACTTGGATGTCTACATGACATACATGACTACATAAAGATACCCCCTATATTAACAATATTAACACTAAAACTTATAAAAACTAAACAAAAGAAAAACTTAAACCTAAATGAGCAAAACCCACCCACCCTGGAAACTAACTGAAGATGAATGTGAAAATGAAATAAAAATAAAAACTAATGAAAAAAAAAACTATGATAACTGACTTTAAACATCTCCACAAATGTAGATTCCTACTGTGGAAACTAATGCTATGTACCAGCATAATTAGATAATTGGCTGTGATCTAATTCCCTTTTGAGAAGCAGATGACATGAAATAATGTAAGATAACAAGGTTTCATTGAGTACGCAGTATGGTACAAGTATAATTATAGAACCAGTGAGAAATGATCTACTCTCCACAAAAAAAAAAGATCTCCACCCCTGAGTGTGACCAAAGCTCAAGGTATGCTGTGATGCATGTGTCCAGGGGCGCTGTGAGATGCTCCCTATGTTGTTTTATGCTGTTTGTCATGAAAGGCCTGCCAAGTGCAGCACAAACTAGGAAGACTCTGTGCTAAACCACTGGCAGATGATTCCACAGTCAAACTAATTAGTTACAGTCACAAGACATTTCAAATGCAGCAAAATGTCTGAGCTGCAGTTCGGCCAGGCAAGGAAATCATTTCTCCACGAGTTGTTTGCAGCATTTCTGTGTCATCCTGGCCACTGATTTAAACCGCATAGAGGAACATATTAAACCCATGCAGGCTGAAAAACGTATAATCTGCCATGTTAGAAAAATAGCACAGGACTGATGTGAAAGAAACTCTGTACCAGTGCGGCATGTTTGTCCACAAAAATAGAGATTTTGTGATGTTATTGACTATTGAGTGCACAGCGCTCTCCTTGTGGGATGACAAATGATAAGTACACTTCTTCCATTGACTGGTCAGAGATACTCAAGATGTGTTCTTTGATTAACTGTGTGTGGCCATTGATTTCTGGACTTGGACCCGCACTGCTGAGAGCTTTTTCCATCAGAGATCTCACTCAGCTGTGACGTCTGCTGGACAACATTTTATTCAAAGCTTCATCTATATGGATTAACCAAAAGTGGTTGTACTCATCATTTTTAGTGAAGGAATTTGGTGGTAGTAGTGAAACTGGTTCCGCACAGGGATGGTTAGTTTTCCTAAGACAAACGACAAAAATGACAAAAATAAACCTGGAGGTTGGATATGTTATTTATTATTAACTGTAATGTTACCAGCTAAAATAGTAATTTATTACACTAAGCACTGGGAAAAGTCATAAAATCTCTGGTGTCTGCATTGCGACAGCAGCGCTGCTGTTGACAAAATATATCTCCTTATTTGACTGTTTGGAGGATAATTGAATATTGATGAACCTGCTCTCTCTGTGGTTTTACTCTAACGCCACATACACACAGCAGGTACATCCATTAGACTGTGATTGGCTGCGTAGTGACTGATGAATGTAGCTAATGTTAGGCTCAGACAATGTGTGTTTTAATTGCACTCTGATTGCATAGCTGGCATTAACATGGTTCCCTGCTGCACCAGGCACTCTGGGAACCAGGCAATCAGGTGCATGTGAGTGAACTGTTGATTCAGGCATACAGGCAGCACACTGAATTTTGATTGGCGACCCTCTTATGCTGGTTTAAATCACTTGGGGTTTTGTGTGTTTAGTCTTATTTTTACATTGCTTACTACAATATAGGCTCTAAGTGTATGCAATCACATATTTAACATTAAATTGACAGTTTGCTAAACCTACCCACTTCCCATGAACATTGTTGAGCCTTGACTTACTTGAATAGGCTCTTTGCAACTCTAGTGAGCACAGGCCTTTGACAAATGTCCTCCACCTCACTCTCCTGCAACCTTGACTTGGTGGAGAGGCTTACTCTAGTAACATGCACGCTGAGAGCTATGAAGGATGGGGTTTAATACCCCTGGGAGGTTCAACCAAACCAGGCAGGACGAGGGTGATGAGGCAGATGAAGCAGTCCCCATCCTCCAGGTTCCTGGTTGGGTGTGGGGTTAAAGCTGCAGTAAGTAAATATTTTAAAAACAACTTCTTGTCATATTTGTTGAAATTGTCAGTAAATACAATAAGAAAATATAGTGGTGTTCTAGCTACCTACTGCAGCTTTAACTGCCCCACCCCGGGAAAAAGTGCAAGTCACAAAAACTTTCTCCACATGCTAAAGTAATAAAATAAAATACTAAATATAATAATATATAATATATATATAATAATTGCTCTACTACTACTACTACTAACTACATTAAATTGTGTGCTTAGAGGTGGTGTTAGAAAAAGCTCAATTCACGACATCCACTGTGTGGAATTTGGGGTCTTAGATCCTACTATATTAGAGTTTAGGGTAACAGTGATTGGATTATAATTTGTGATTAGAGCTTCAGTTGTATGTCTCGCTATCGCATGCATCAAATGCGTACTTAACACCCTTTTTGCCAGTTTCTCATTTTGACCCATGTCAATTAAATGTCAGCAGGAGTTAACATGAACTCAGGGAGTTAATTAATTAGCAAGCCAGCTATAGCAGCTGTCATTTCAGCTGGAAAAACTGTCAGTCAATGGCTTTTGTTTACATCCGTAAGAAATCATAGACCCATTGTATTTATGAACTGTGCTAGAATCTAAATCTCGAACATTCAAGAACATGTATGGTTACGCAATCAGTTACTGTGCAATCATCGTGGGTAAGAATTTGTCATAACCTGAATTTCCCTGTTCTTTTCTTGCATGTCATCACTTCTAACCCCATCGTCTGTCTTGCGGTTTGTCACACTGTCATGTTGTTTTATCTAAGTGAAAACTCGTGTTGTCTCATGTTTTTTTTTCCTGTTATGATTTGACTGTTTGTCTTGTGTCTCTTCTCTTCTTCTCTTCTCCTCTCCTTCTTCTCCACTGCTGACCTTTGACCTCTCAGACTTAGAGACCTCTGTGGACAGTCGATGCACTACGGATAGTGCTGACAGTGCCTTTATAGGCCGCCGCTATTGATTCCCGGCTTCTTCCTTTTTTACCATTTCTCTTCTCCAATCATCCTCTTCCATCCTCTCCCACACAGGAAGTAAGATTACAAATCAGGCTGCAGAACAAAAAATACTTTTTTTTCCTTTCCCACTTGTTGATGTACTGTTGTCCATCTTTGTCTTTTTAGTTATTTATACTCGTTTATCTTTTTACCTGTCTATTCCTACATCTGTCATCTCCCATACCTGCCCGAGTATCTGCGTTTGTCAGTGTACTGTTTGTATTCATGTCTGATCTATTATGTGGGTTTATATGATTCTGCAACTTTGCATCTATGTATTATTCAAATACTTTTACTCTCCAGACACCTCATTTGTGTTTGTGTATTCTGTTTGCATATATTTAAAGCAGAGCTGCATGATAGTGCACATTCTCATATCAGCCTAATTAAAGTCAAGATAATGTTTACTTATAATAGACCATGACTGTGACCTGTTTGAAATGAGGCTGCGTTCACACTGCAAGCACAAGTGGCCCAAATCAAATTTTTCTTTTGCTCATATGTGACAATAATCTTTTAAATTCAGATTTGGGCCACTTTCATATGACTTTTCTGCAGTGTGACCTCAGTTTGAGGAGTCATATAAGAATTCATGTGACTTTTACATCACTCTAGATCAGCGGTTCCCAAACTGGGGGTCGGGACACCCAGTAGGGGATCGCCAAAGCTTCACAGGGGGGTCGCAAGGCCTTCTTGATTTTAAAGGGTGCAAGAAAGCTTTAAAAATGTACACAGTAGGCCTTATCTCATCGTCTTGCGGTAAAAACGTGTGTAGTTATAACAACTACAGAGTGAATAGAACAAGCGTCAGGGAGAGAAAAACATAAAATCTGTCAAAAAAGAAGCCTATTAAGTATGTTTGATTGTTAGAAAGACATAAAGACACTTGACTTAAAATATTCACACATTAAATATAGTATGAAATATCCATAAAATATGTTATTTAGTTAGGAGGTCTTCAGTTTTGTCAATGATAGGGGTTCCTTAAGGAAAAAGGCACATGACCGGCAGGATGAAAGGACATTCATCCTGCGGGTCACTTCAGGACCGTGACCTGTTTACACTGGATTCTGATATAGGCCACATTTAAAAAAAAAAAAACAATGAACAGCCAAACAAAAAAAAATCTGATTCGAGCAATAAATCAAAATTGAGCACTAAGGCTTGCAGTTTGAACAAGTAACACAGGTTATTGGAGGTTTGTTTTATAAGAATTATTAATGTCTGCTTTTTAATAAAATAAAAGAATAAACGTCACAATTGCAAAGAGTTAGTTAAATGAATATATACTTCAAATAATTAAAATCATCCAAACCCCCTGCAATGAAGGTAAATGGCTTGTTTGATTAGCATTAATATGTGCATGTTTGTCACAGTAATAGGACTCCAGGCCATGCAGAGGTAAGAGTGTTCGATCCTTTGAACTTACGAAAACAAGTTTTTGGTATTCCGGCCGCGTCAGAGTCGGGGGGCTGTTTGTTTCTGAAGACTATTCAGATGGATTACATCAGTGCCTTCATAGTATTTATTATAAAGCATGTTTACATGAGGCATGATACATCCCAGCAGCTCTCAGGTCAGTGTACACAGCTCCAAAGAATCCTGGATTAATGGATAAGAAGATTCTGCTCACATGAGGAAGGCTGTTGAACATTTTTTAGACTAATTCTCAGATTATTGATGGTGGTCTGTTCCTGTGGCCAGATTCTATTCAATTAACCGCAGTGCAAGCAGCTAATCAGACTGTTGTGAGTGTAGAAAGAGAGTTAATGGGAGGAATTTCACCACCTCTCAACAAGTTTGTTTTAATGTTCTCTCAGCCGGGCATCCAGAGCCAATGTGAGCTTTACTGTGTGTTCACAAAAAGAGTTTCTAACCATACAATCTATATTTATCCAGAGGGGGCCAGATGCTCAAGTCAGGAAAACAAAAAAAGCAAAAACAAATCTGCCCAACTGTGTCATGAATCTGTGTGTGAGGAGAAATGAGTGTGAGCCTGTATAAATCAAGAAAGAAAAAGTTGCATAGACGCTTTTCTAAGGGGCCTTTACTTTGTCTTAATATGTATATTGCAACATCCCTGATTAGTTGGTGTTTCTAGGCAGATATGATTATGAATAATACATTTGCATGGCAGTGGTTGTGTGTATTGAAGACTTTTTTTTTGGTTGTCTCTGCAGGTTTTCCCTCTGTATCACGAAACAGAGATGCCTACCAGTCCATTGACCAGCAGGATGAGTCTTCAACCCCAGCAAATCCGTTCAACCAGGCCCAGGACAGCAAACCAGGAGTCCGCACATACTGAGAGAGCCAGGCGGTGAACAATGCAGCCTTTTCCTCTGACTTCTCATGCAGCAGTACAGTGCTTAGGGGCAGTTTTTTTTTTTACAATCGATCCCATCACTGTGTTTTGTACAACTGGTCTGCTGCAGATTGCAGCACTGAAATTTAATTATTTTATTATGGTAAATCGTTAGCTCTGATTGGGTTTTAGAATAAAATATGGCACACATAATTTTTCCTTCAAAGGTGGTAATGTTTTTGCTGAGCCAGCACATCGCTGCTGAATAAATACAGAGAAAATCATGCTCCGCCACTTTCATGCTGTGTTACTGTTGTTACTGCTATTTTTAGTGGAGAGGTGTTGAATGGAACTGTTGTGTCTGCAGCTGTTTTGTCAGTGTACTTTTTTTCCAAATTACTCTTTTTTTTTTTTTTTTTTGTACAAATGTGGCACTTACAGACATTAAGAGGCTTGTCTGTTTTCTTTGTGATCTGTGAATTATTACGTTCTACTTGTATGCAGTGTTTGTGTGATGATTATTTTCCAGTTAGTCTGTGTTCTACGTTACAGCAATGCTTAAAGCACTGGATGGTTTTTAACACAAGAGGACTGAAATGAATGTTCAATGTGAGTGCCTTAGAAGCTACTTTGTGCCTTTTGTACTTTTTCAACTCATAAGAGCTGAGAAATCCTTATACCGGATTGACGACATGATGACCAAATATGAAGTTACAGGCCTTTCTTCTGATAACAAATGAGCAGGACCTTGCAGTGCAGCACACAATCAGGCTCTCCTCCTTATTTCTGGTGTTGATCTATGCAATGTATTAAAAGTACTGCCGTATCTAGGTCTGTGACTATGCAAAATACATAAAAACATAAGAATGTTTGAGAAAAGAAGATAAATATGTAGATTTTTGTAATGATCAGTTCACTGTGCATAAAACTGTTTTCATTTCAAACTATTTTAAATTGTTAAAGTTATTACCATATAAGTGAAGGCCTCTAGACTGCCATAAACACTATTGTAATGTAAAACCTTCAATAAATTGCAACCTCGGATAGCCACTGATCTGTTAGAATATGTTCCTACTGTAAAAGGACAGTAGATATGAGACAGATTTTTCACATCACAAATGTTAAATGTTTGCAGCAGCACTGTCTTCAATGGATGGTGTGTAATACCTCACATCATACATTGAATACTGAATAAAGTGTGCACTCTCAGTTTTAGTGCAAATTGCGTAATGGTAGTAGTGGTTACAGAGTAAGGGAAGTTCACGCTGTGGCTGCAGGGTGGATTTTACTGTGACTGTATCATTTGGATTTTTTTACGATCAGTTTTCTTTTGAAAGACTTTCAGGTTCTGAGTTCCTGTGTTGAAATCATGATGACCTGCGTGACAGAATGGGGATGTGGTAACCATATTGGTCATATAATGGTTATGTGAAATAATCACTGCTGTAGTACCAGAGGCTGTTGAGTCATATTTATCATGAGAGGCACCTGATTTGCTTACATACCTCATGTAATTATACCTTAATTCAGTTAGTTCACTGTCCTAGACTGTCTTTTACTGTCTGTAAACTGTCTGTCTGACAAAACAAACCATAACTGATGGTTCCACGTCCCTGTGAGCCTATAACAACCCGTTACTAGATCACCGAAATACCAAATGATTAACACTTACAGCTCTCTGTGATAACTTAGAATAGCACCACCATTGAAAAAAAGTAAACATTTTCAACAGCAGGTGATTGTGTGACTGGGAATGACCTGCAGAAAGGCAATAACATTGTTTTTTGTAATTCTGTTCATAATAAAAAATAATTTAAAGGACAACTGTGTAGGATTTAGTGGCATCTAGCGGTGTAGTCGCAGATCGCAACTTCCTCGCTTCACCCAGCCCTTCAAATCATGAAGGGGAAACTGTGATTACTGTAGAAACATGGTGTTACGCTGATGATAAAAACAGCTCATTCTAAGGTAACAAAAACATAACAATTCTAATTTTCAGGTGATTAAACACTAATGAAAACACAGTGATGAATGTTATGTTCCATTTCTGCCTCCTGAATGTTACACACTGGACCTTTTTAAAAGGACCAGGAATATTCTAGGTATGAATAGACAGTTCAGAAGGGTCTCTGATTAAGCTAAATGAGTTCATCCTGTAAGAGACTAAAATGTCATATTTGACTATGAACATTTTTTTACATAGTTTCTTATTATCTTGATACCTGCATTAAATATGATCTTAATTTGATAATGTAACATGACAAGAAAATTATTTTTTTTTGTCATGCTGTTTCATTTGCTTCCTCCTGGAAAGGTGGACATATCCTAAAATATGGCTGCTGTAGTTGCTTCAGCTTAATGTCTCTTGCTCTGATAATGAATGTATTTTTCTAATTGAAAGGCACAAGGCTAGACAACTTTAAAAGAATACAACTGTTACTACTGCTGAAACTTTGTTTTTACTAAATTAAGATTATAAGAGAAAAATATGAAAAATGTGGGCTGCATGTTTTCATGAAAATCCTGCAGCTCTGCCTTAATTTTGGTTCTAAATTGTTCCAAATGCTCTTTTTATGACTGACTGGTCATATTTGACACGTAAGAGAGTCTGTTGTTGTCATCCTTTTTCATTACAAGGTTGCCTCTGATTTGACATTTTATGTGGCAAGTTGTTTTTTTCTTAAAAATAAAGAACAACGATGTATAACATGTATGTATGTATGTATGTTGAATGATGTTTTATAACACAGATAAACCATATGCACAGAGGATTTGTATTTCTTCTCCTCTCTGCTCCTCTCAGAGATCTCTTTATTGCCCTGCTTTTATTTATCCAACCAGACAACACATTTATCTTCCTTTCCTCTTTTACTCACATTGTTCCTCTCCACTGTGCATATTCCCAGAGCCATACTACCTTCAATGCCAAAAAATCAGCTCAACCACTATTTACACTGCAACGGCACTTGACTTAAAATAACACAGAAAATGTGAAAAAGCATCATGAAAGTAAATGATTTATTTTCTGTCGGTTGCCTCTTGCATTGCAAATATAACAAGAGTAATTAGAGTGATAATGCTAGACGCACCTGGAATGTAAAAACACCAGATTTTCATATTTCATCCATACCCCAGGTGAAAACAAGTGTTCCTCAATAAATTACACAAGTATTGGAGTAGTACACACAGAAAATAAACTTACAGTCAAGGTCTCTGTCCCTGATTTCTTTCATTATCGCGAGGCAGTGACTCTGGTTAGCTTGAATGGTCTATTGTCCTCAAGTGTGGAGGCTGTGGAGCCGCGAGCCCTTGAGGAAAGAGCCTTTTCATTTGTTTGTTTATAGCATATAGTAGTGTCTCTTAGGCCTCATAAGAAATCATGAATGGAAATTCTATTCTATATCTTATATATCCATATGCAAAAACACACACTAACATGAATGTACCACAACAGCTGCATGTTCAACATATCGGAGTACAGCCCAAAATGTTTTACTTAAATATTAGCAGTAAACACCACATTTTGATGTCAGTCCATCTGGAGCAAAAACACAATGTGGCCAACTGAGAGACAGACAATAATTTAATCACAAAAATAAGCCTCATTCAATGTTACACACCCATCTCTTCTGAAACCCACAAGTGTGCTCACCCACAGGTGTGCTCATTCTCAAAAGAGATGTAGTGATTATTTACCATAGTAGATGTATGTTAATGTAAGTTTAAGATGTAGGCTACAAAATATACTCAATATCCTTGCAGTTCAATGCTTTCGTTTATGGGTCCATCATTTCCGAATCATTTTCTAATACTTACCTGGTAAATACGTGTGATGTGGTGCTAAAAAATAGTTTTAAAATGGTACTCTTCCAATTATTTAATTCCAATTAATTGCCAGTGTACGAGCCTTTATGTCAGTGCACAGCAACAGATCAGCTGAGTTTGGATACTCAATCAAAAATATCAATCAAAGTTTTCATAGTTTTTCTTATTTTTCCCACTTATTTTTCCCAAACAAATTAATTATTTGGGAATTATCTGGACCCATATTGTTTCTGTAAATAACTATATTAATCATTTTTCAAAATACAAATAGTTGATTTCTGAATTATCCAACACACAGTTAACTCTTAAAAATAAAATAAGGAATGAAGATATACACAAACTTTCTCATCATTTTCTCATTAGTTAACACAACCAACGCCCAAACAAAACAGGGAGAATTGAGAGGCTACAGAGCTCAGTTTGTTCTGATGTGTTCATATCTACAGTATATTGGTTGTTTGCCATACTGTAGGTCAGCCAATAGGGATGTCAGCCAATAACTGTCTATAAAACTAAAAGAATCAGACACTGCACAGATTGTGAAAACCCCAAAATGAAATGGGAAACAAATTTATCCCTTGCTGTAACTTGCCAGGAATCAACCAAGTTTCTCATAATTGAAATCTAAGTTAATTTGGGTTTCAAACCCAGACAAGATGTTTAAGTCATTGGGCCAAATTGGCTCAAACACTGCTTTTTTCATGATTTACATACTGAATCCTGTTGTTTTTTCTTTCTTTCTTTCTTTCTTTCTTTCTTTCTTTCTTTCTTTCTTTCTTTTTTCTTTCTTTCTTTCTTTCTTTCCTTTTGTGAAAGCGTCAGGGAGAGGTCTTAATTAATGAGTAACCTGTGTTAATGACTCATTTGTCCCGAGCTCCTGTTCAGGATGGGACGCTTTGGCTGTAAAAAGGAGAAGAGGAGAGAGGGAGGAAGAGGATGGTGGAGGTAAAGGTTGAGAGGGAGAAGAAAGGAGGAGGTGAAGATGGAGGAGGTATGGCTAGCAGCCCAACAAGCTGTTGATTAATAAGGAGCTGCTGGGCAGCCTCTCCTGAGTCCTGCATGCATGCAGGTTTGACACATCCTCAGGCTCACACCTGTGATTCCTCTGAGTCAAGGACACGCTCGCTGCCATTGTTGGTCGATGCAATAAAAGAAACTCCATTTGTCAGCTCTGTTATTGCATTAGTGGCAATCCCCAGAGAGAATTTTGAAAGAATGAATTTGTGGGCTTCAGGACTGTAGACTTTGAACACAATAAAAAACGTCTTATTTACAGACTCCTGAAGTGACCATTATTTCAGAAATTAAATTGGCCAATAGATTTTTTTTCCTGAGAAAATCTATGACAGTGAAAATCACATTTACTCCTTTATGATTGTAATATAGAAAATCAACTGCACATATGACAAAGAAAGCCTGAAGTAAATAATGATCTAGCATGGACTTTGCTGCCGGTTTTTTGTAGCATTTTGCCTCTTTATCCATTTCAAAAATATCAAAACCAATACCACAAAATCCTACGACCTTAATTTTTTCATTTTAATGAACAGACTATTATTCTTGTTATTTAATATTCTATATACCATTTTCTTATTTTTCTTTATTTCTATTACATTATATTCCAATCCTCTCTGTTTTCTATCTTGATCCTTAGGAAAGCCTAGATTCCTAAAATATATTTGCATACTATTTACACAACATATCTAAATAAATAAATACGCAAAGAAATGCAAATAGCATGTTTTCTCCTTGACACACTTTCAGATGCAGACCAGGAGGAGGGGAATAAAAATGTGACCCTCAGAGCTGCTGGAGTCAAATGAAAAACCGTTGGCTATGCCTCAAGGGTTAATTATACAGCATGGGGGCAGTTAGTGATAAAAATATTGACATGCTTGACTTACATGTCTCTAATTGAGTCTAGGTGGACAGAAGAAATAATCCCTGGCCTGGATGGGAAGATCTCAGTTAAGAAAGTGATGGAGTAATAGTCTCCCTATCTTAAAAATCTTACTTAACCACTACCTGCTGCCGGGAGCTGCTCAGTGGCCAACAAGACTACAAGAAACAGTCATGCTCGAAAGCCCTGAGAGATCAAACCAGTGTTCATATGTGAAATTGATTCAGGAATGACATTTTTATGCCTCAAGCATCTCGAGTCCCCTGGGAAAGCTCTTGCAACCCTTGACCTTTTCACACAGTGGCCTCGTGCATCTGTCACAGGCGATAACAACATCAAAATTGATTCCAATTATCCTCCAGTCCACAGTACCCAGCAGAGAAGGGGGTCAACACATCCTTTGCCATTAAGCAATGGAGTGATTAGTTGTTTATGTTAGAAATTAAATAAAACAAAATAAACGCTGTAAAAAAAAAAAAAAACACTGCTTGTTGTCTCCTGTGGGAATTCCTGTAAAGAGGTTAAGAAAAAGCTGGACTTATTGTGAAAAGCCAGACTTAAGTTAATCTAAACAGTTTACAGGATAAGCTAGCTGGCTGCTGGTTGTAGTTTTATTTTGAAGCGTAGTATCAGTCTTTGGCAAGAAAGCAAATAAGCATAATTCCCATTGTCAAACTATGCCTTTAAAACTGTCCTATGACCAGGGGTTACAGTCAGGTTAATTTGCCTTGTAATAGAAAACCCAGTTGTTTTCTTTTTTAAATTTTGGTTCCACATATCCAGTTAATTTGTTAATGCTCTCACATTTGAAATCCATAAACCAAAGATAATAATCATTTAAGATTATATTCACCTGTAAATTCGTCTTTAGTCAGTAAAATCTTTGAGGCCAATTTCAGTTCTGAATGCAGCAAGACTCTTAACTGTATTCTCCTCATTATATAACCATTTGTGCTTTTATCCTCAATCTGCTCTATTTACTCTAATTATATTCTTCTTAATGTCATTTTTTTTTATTTCTTCAGTGACCCAATTTTCCAACAGAGATCATTAAACTTTCATTTTATCTTTCTATCTTTCTCTTCTATCTTTAATGATTTTTTCCAATTGTATGTTGAAGACTTTAGAGGCCAGGTTCTTCCTTCAGCGTATCCTCCATAAGCATCTACACCGGCAGCTGCTGTAAAGTGAATGGAACAAAGGTGTGTCTTGTCTTAATTGTTAAATAAATGAGAATCATCTCTCTATGAACTTTACCTCCAAATCTGCCATGAATGCCTCTAAAAAAAATAACTTTTTTTTTTCTTGGAGTGAAATAACCTTCGGGTTTTCTTTGCCCCTCAAACAGTAGGTGAGGGAGCCCAGCAGAGACTGAGAGAGAGAGAGAGAGAGAGAGAGAGAGAGAGAGAGAGAGAGAGAGAGAGAGAGAATAATGAACAGTGAACACGAACCAGATAGTTCGATGGGTGCAGATGATGAATGACCACGGGGAGGGAGTACAGAGCCAGAGCAGAGGCACAGCCATTTGTTACTCTGCTGTCACAAATGTATTTTTAATGAATCTGCACCTCTGACTCCTCTGCAGAGCAGGACTTTTCCTTAAGGCCAGCATGACCCCAATATTTCCTGTAAAGCGCTGGTTCTGAACAAACCCACTTTAGCTCTGGCTGTGTAATGTAAATAACCTTCTCCTTCTGAGCGCTGAAGCCATCAGTCTCGCTCCTCATTATCATCCTTACCTGTGCTGAGAATAGGGGCCGTTCCTGTCTCTGTGCTGGTAGCAGGTGGGGAGGTTTCACCTTGAATTGCTCCTGTGTACTAAGCTCTTCTGAAAGATGTGGTTTTTCTTTGCAAAAAGTCCTTCAAAAGAGTCAGCAACCCTACCTCCTGAAATCATTTCAAATTAAAATGTTTCTGGTGATACATGGCAGCTTCTGTGCAGTGGTAGGTTAGGTAGAGGTAGGTTAAATACTTTAATGTTCCAACCTCTTGTCAGTTTTAACAAATAACAACATGATTAATAAGGAAGATATAAAGGGAAAAAAGAGGAGAGGTGAAAAAGGTGAGAAGGAGAGCTACCCGCTGATTTCCTGCAGGCCAAATGCCTTAAAAGCATGATGCTGACACTGAGGTACGATGGAGTCGAGAGGCAAACCAAGGGGGATAGCTTTCCTGCACCGCCTTGGTTGGCTGGGATATTGAGGATGAGTGTGGAGTCTAAAAAACTAGCAGGAGATCGAGGGTAAGCCAAGGCCAGTTACATTCACACACCTCTGCAATTCTAGCTTTCCCACTTTTTGCATGTAGATGTGGAAATTGCAAAGGGGGGGGGCAACTCACTGCAGACACCATCCTGGAAAAGACTGCCTCATTTTAGAGGAGACTGATGCGTACGATGTTACACATGACACACATCAAACATGTGACCTACACTGACACCCAGAATGACACACACATCATTGCATTTGCTGTGTTCCATCTGTGCTGTCACATCGGTGTTCAACAATCTTCTGGGGAATCGGACCTGGGCAGTCATCCATCATCAGCCTCCAGTTCCCAAAAAGAAAAAAAAATGTTTTATGCAAAGAATGGATACCGCAAGAAGCGATTCCACACACACACGGTAAAAAAAAAAAAAAAAAGAAAAAGGCAGAGCAATAATTCACACTCTCAGCATACTTATCATTTTAACAGCCAAAACACAGACAAAAGTGAATCCAGGAAAGTGAGATATTATTCACTGTTTTCTCATTAAAGCAGTCCATGGCTCTTAAATAACACCAAAGCAATTCTTTATGATGTTGTTGTCTTTGTCCGTTTTGAAAGAGGAGGCTGTCCTTGTCTGCCTCTGACAGCAGTGAGTCTTTGACCTCCATGTTTATACGTCCAGTTAGTGTCTATCCAAGAGCTCACCTTGGAGCTGCTGACAGCTCCTCACTGCTTAGAAAATGTTATGTACAGTATCTGGACAGCAGACGAAGTCACATACCATCCTGGGCTTGTTATGGTTGAATTAACGCACAGGAGCAGAGAGGGAGAAATCAAATGACATGGTGTTTATGAAGGCATCTCATTGTGGTTGGATGTCTCCGTGGGAACCCTCTGCCTGCCAGGACGATTGGTCTTGACAGAGCTCTCCCCCGAGTCGAGGATCAGCGGGCGGTTGTTCTTGTCTCTGTCTTGGTCTGTGACACAGGTCTGGTTGTTACTGTAAAATAAATGAGGTGCTTCACTCAAAAATCCAGCACATGAACCCATATTTAATAAATGTTACTATTTTGATGGGAGAGACTTCGTTATATACTATACTATATATTGCTACTACAGCAGCAATCTTATGTATCCTGTTATTCCTCCTGAAGACTCACCTTTACAAGTTGGCCTACACTTGACAATGTTTTACCTTTCCTTTATTTTATGGTGTTTTATATACTGAGGTTGACGTGCATATTTACACACACTTACTTAATTGTTCATTTAATTGTGCTTGATTTAGTATTTTTATATGCATATTTTTCTGAGTAACTCTTTTATTCTTTATATTTTGTAGTCTTGTGTTTTATAAATAAAATAATAATTATTATTATTATTCAGGGTATTCATTATCACAAATTAAGATGATTTGTCGTTTGTTGTTTCGTTTTTTGTGTCATTCATGTAAGAATATCTAGCCTTATCTAGCACTAAATAACATAAATCACCACACAAAATAGATCATACAAAATACTTTGTTTCCTCTCCCTTAGTGGTTGCCCCCATAACACACAATTCCACCTACAAGAAATCTGAGACTGGAGCCTCTTATGTACTTAACATAAGGCTTTACATATATAAAAACTACAGCTGGGCACAGTATATGTCATTACCTGTCTTGACTGTCTTTAGCGAGTGTGCTGTCTTCATAGATTTTCAGCATTGTTTCTGTGCGGTCGTCGTGGTGCTCTTTAGGCTCCTGAAACCTAAAAAATAAATTTTAACAAAAGACATATTTCTTTAGTTGTCAGTGCTGTTAAAGGACAAGGCTTGTGTTCTTCTGTATTTTTCTTATCATCAAAAAATAATAATAATAATAAACAATGTGTTTATCTCTCAATACTTTCCAACATCCCTACTCTGGCTGCGGCACTCAGCTCCAAGCCCATTGGTTCCTACTGAAGATATTAAACCTTAAAAATGGGTCACAAGTAAATAGTAATAAAAAAAACTCCTAAAAGATTCCTAAAACAGATGGTCACTATAGTTTTTAGTAAATATTACACAGACAGGAATAACATTGCATTTGTTGAGGACTATTTTCAGCCGCGGATTAACACAAATTTGCTGCTCTGGTGAGTATTTACTGCAGCAGAACGGTGTATGTGGAACGGAGTTAAGATAAACTGCAGTGCCCATGTTTGTGTTAATGATGTCAACCAGTGCAACAATGGGGCTCAGTGATGTGCTTTTAATAGTTCTGGGACAACAATGAAGCTCTATAGCACAAAGGAGTAAGCTACACAGGGAGTACTTGTTAGAATAAATAATAAAAAAATGTTTTCATGGAATTTGTTAACAATAATAAGCCTTATCCTTTAATGTCTAACTCTAGTTACATGCTGGATGATTGGATTGGATGAAAATCAAATAACTTTAAAAGTGTGAAAAAGCCGCATTGACTTAGGTGATGCTACACGTTTGCAAAAAAATCAATTAAAAAAATGTTCCAGCAGAAGAAACCGCAATTTTACAATAATTAGATAGACATACAATAATTTTTGTTGTTGTCATTTTCTTTATCCCAATACTATAAATACACCCGCATGCAGGTCCAAGTTAGGCAACTAGCGATCCCATTTCCTTCTAGTCACAGTCATCAGTCAACCAATATGGCAGCAGATGGAAAATATCACGTAATATAGCCTTTGAATACAACACCTGGGCTCAAGTCTCTCTTTGACTTTGGCAATGGACAGGATGTAGGGGCTGATCTGCTTGGCGATAGTAGTTAGGTAAGAGTTCTCCTGCTTCAGCTGCATTAGGTCATAAAGCTGAGCTAGAATCAGTAAACGAAGAACATTAGAAAAAGAACATCAAAATGTAAAACTTGACACAGATAAATGTTTGAGAAATAAATGTTTTTTGTTGTCACCTTCATAGATCTCCTGCTCATTAGTGACCCTCTGAAAAGTCTCATCCCAGATCTAAAAAGAGAGGAAAATGTGGTTCTCATGAAATAAAATATTACATGGACTGCAGTCATTCGACTCATGGGATACCCTGACATTTCCTTTCCCCCTGTTTGGATTCCTAGCAGTCTAAATGTATAACAGTGGGTGAACACTAGCCCGTTAGTATGCAGCTAGAGCTACTGACTTTTTTATCAGAACTGCCTGGCAGAAGCAGGTACACACTAAAGGTCAAACCATCAAGGTACCACTTGACGCACCTCTTCAAACATGACTCTCATAGTTTCCACAGTGGAGTACTGGGCAGCTATCTGGCTGTCAATGTGCAGAGATCTGTCCAGGATCTCTCCCATTTTATCTGTGTTGATGATGGAGTGGTGCTTGGTCAGATCTCGGTGCAGCTCCTGGACCTGGTCCTTCAGATTCTGAATCTCTGTCTGGAAAGTCTATAAACAGAAACACAAGACATGACACGACAAGTGGTGATTCAGTGTCTTTGATTTGATGGGTGTGCAGATGCCAGGTGAAGTCTCATCTGAGCACTAGACAAGTTGAGTTCTCAGAGGTCATGCTGCTGCCTTTTCATTGTTTTATTTTGAGGATCAGTCTTATTATACAGTCTTATAAATTAACTATGGAAATAAAACTAATAAAACAATTGGATCTGGATTTGCTCTTAGATAATGACCCTGTAGAAATATGTTCCTCGGCACTGAAGTGTCTTTGTACACCTACACCTGCAACTAGCCACGCTGCTAGCACCCACTGACTGACTGACATATCTCAAAAACTATTTAAAGGAATTGATCATCTCTAAACTGTTCACCAAGCACTTTCATTAAATTAAAATTTTAATTTGGATTTATGACCAAATTCATGCAAAACGTATGATATTCCCATCAGCCTTAGATGTACTTTATGTTTAGTGCTAATTAGGGAATATTAGCAACATGCTAAAATAAGACTGCTACAATAAACATCAGCATGTCATTGTGAGCATATTAGCATGCTGATGTTAGCATTCAGCTCAGTGCACCCCTGTGAATAAGTGCGTCCTCACAGACCCGCTAGCGTTGCTGTAGACTCCTTTAAATCTTGTTTAAACGTTCTGGGTAAATGCACGGAGTCCACTGTACTGAACTGTAAATCTGTATCATTGGTCACACACAGCACCCACCCTGTAGGTGTTCTCATAGTTGCGGCAGTGCTCGGTGAAGGGTGTTTCCGTCCCCTCAGCCAGGAGGACCTTGGTGCAGATGTTTCTGTGACAAGTGGGCCTTCGCCCGAACGCCGAGCCCAGGGGCATCTCGCAGAGAGACGGCGAGCGGCAACACACGGAGAGAGGGGACTGATGTCTGAGGTGAGGGGAAGAAAATCATAATAACTGTGCTTGATGACATTATTCTCATCAATAAAACATAACGTCTCACTAACCCCTGTCTCTGACACCACAGGAGGCTTGAAGCCTCATATTAAATAAATTGAATCTTGCCATATTGGACTATAATATTCTATTGTTGGTAACCTACAGTCAGCTATGTTCTAGCTGTATAGATATTGTATAAAAATGGTACATATGGTACAGCATATTCAAAACACTCAGAACCCAGTGCGATATTCTTAGAATTTTAAAGAGCTTTCTATCATTGGGACACACCCTGGTCCATTATTACATACTCCCAACATTTACTTTGTATTCTAGTAAGATATACAACTGCATACTTTACTTCCACAATCATTTCATTTAGTTTTGTATTGTGTTGTGTAGTAACTTCCTCAGGGAATAAAACTGATTCTCATATCTCTGGAAGTTTCTCGGAATAGCCTCTTCTGCTGATGGCATTGGAGCAGCTCCAGTGGACCAGAAGTGCTTCACTCAAGTACACCTCGATGGTAGTTTCCACCTCTCTGTTAATGGGTGGGTAAGGAGGTCAAATGTTTGCACAACTTTCTTTTTGAGATAAAATGAACAATTCACAGAACAAAGCCATTGGCCTGCTTCACATGTATTTCTTTTTTTCATGTTTCATTTTTTCTAAAAATACAATTTTCACAATACAAAAGGTTGCACAGACCTATAACTCCTGATGGTCTGCCGACTTCACATTTTAAAATGTTCACGTTTGAAATTCACCACACAAAGCAATTTCAGGAGAAAATCAATCAGTTCTGTTCAGTTCATCTGGTTATATATTTGTTCTTTTGTTGGCTATATTTACTTTTTTAGGTCTCTCTTACAAAAGAGATCTTGATCTCAATGAGACTCCCTGATTAAATAAAGGTTATCATGTGTCTAAAGTGAATCAGTACACTTGCTGTCACTCAAAACATTCACATCTCTTCACTATCACCTTCACCGAGAGTGTGAAAGTACGTACTGTACGCACAGCACATAGTCACACAACTAGATAAACATACATTTATCTGGGTTCTGCTGGGACCATAGTCTTGGCTTCATGCCGACAGCCTGTCTGCCCTGAAGCCATTCTACAATAGCCTAGGTGCGACTACATCTCCCTCACATTCCTATTCGTATGTTGCCCTCTGAGCATCCAGCCGTGTCCCAACACAGCCAATTAAAGACATTGCCAGTACTAAAGCAGCAGCATCCGTTGCATGAAGGAACATGAATGTACAACTTCACTTCTGTTCTGTGAAATTATGATAAAAATATGGGCCAGCCAGCTGGCCATCCACCAATTCTTTGCCCGGTTTGTGTCCTGCATTAACGGCTGACAAGTGGGGGAAGGAGCTTTCAGACAGCAATTAGGGAAGTTTCAGACACAACAACACATTTAGTCGCACTGAGTAACAGGCTACACCACGTGGGCGGCATTCTGCAACTACCATACGGTGAGGAAAAGCCCATTTCCTCCTCCATCTGTGAATTGAAGTATGGAGTGGAATCGAAACATTGTGGAGTCAAGCACCTCGTGTAACGACTGTCGTTCTACAGTGTCAATGGCATCAACAGAAATTCACTAAAGAGAGTAGAAAGCCAATGTATGAGTCTGCCTCTGATCCCTTACTACCAATTCAGTCTGCGAAACACATTCACTTTAACCTTTGCTATGATCACCATAAATATGCAAGACATTAAACTATAAATTCTAAATTTATTGCAGGTTCACACTGCAAGGTAAGGCACTCACATACTCATGACACTCTATTCAGGAGAATACCTCGAAATAAAATACAGATAATGTTACCTTGGGTCTGGTAAGCTTTTACTCCTGCCTTCTTGCCCAGTGTTGATGCAACAGAAGACCAGACTAAAACTGGTATCCCTCCTTCTCTGCCATACACATGTCATCCTCTGCACACCCAGCTTCTGTCCTCCCATCACTGACGCCAATTAAAGACTTTGCCCGTGCTAAAGCCGTGACATCAGTGGCCTGGAACAAAGCGGCCCGACCGCTCCTGCATGCCAACTTCCAGATGAATCCTAGAGAGTTCTGTGAAATTATGATAAAAATAGTGCCAGCCGGCCGACCACCAATCCCTGCCCACTTTGCATCTTGCACTGGCAGGGCGCTAAGCAAGTTGGAAAAGAGAGTTGTCAGTATGTTGGCATTAGTGGGTGGGCTTAAAGACCTGTGAACAGTTGGGAGACACCAATGTGGAAAAAAATCAGTCAGGGGAGTGTGTGTACGTGGAGAGGGACGTGAAGTAAAAGGACAAAACTCTGTTCTGAGAAGTGATGGGTGTTTAAATAAAGGGTTGGTGTAATTCTCAAAGGAATCTATGAAGTTAAAAGACTGTACGGCATTGTCAAAGAGCAACTAAATTCAATGTAGCACTAGTCTAAGTAAAACGATGCATCAAAATAAAAACCTCTCTATCCATCTACACTCATTCATCCATCTTATCACGCTGTGTTTCTGGCCTGGCCACAGCAAAACCAGAGCTTTCTAAAACAGGGTCAATGGCCTTCCCAGCACCCACGCACCAAGGTGAGTTACGTAAACATATCAGTGTACAGAGCTTACAGACAGACAGAGCTTACAGACAGACAGAATAACTTCCATAGTGGGACTCAGCATGGCGCCTCCTTTCCTCACACTGCAGTCATCGCTGTCTACCATCTGTACTCGCAAACCATTTGGGGATTTTGAGTTTGGATCCTTCGCAAGTGTGAAATTTTCTGCCCAGACTTTTTGCTTTCTTGGAAGAATCCAAATGATGCCATGGTGATACTCAGCCAGCGAAAGCACATTGCAAAATGAAACCCAGGGATCATTTGGCAATTACATTCAAGCAGGTAAATGATCTCACCTTGTTGTAATGCTTGTAGGTCCGGCAACAGAAGGAGGGCAGCGCTGGCCAAGCAGCAGTAAGGGCTCCAGACAGCGAGCAAACTCACTTCTGTAGTCTGTGTTGATCTAACGGAGGACAGACATAAAGTCAGTCGGTCTTGTATTAATTCAAAAAGAGTTCCAAATATATGCACATTTTTCTTCTGTGTTATTTTTGTTCTTTATTGATTCTATGAAAAAGAGCAAAAAACACTCCTAACTAGGCCAAAAGAAAGAAAGAAACTGGTAGTCAGGAGTTGCCAGATTCAGGCTCATTCCTTCAGTCAACCTTTCAATCATCATCATTCAAAATAAATAGGATTAAAAAGAAAAGAAAAACACTTTCATACTCATACTATACACTCACAACCATAAACACAAAAGTTATATCTTAATAGCACGTGTTCACCCTTAGATTAAAATACTTTGATCTGTGACATTTTTGTCTACAGGTAAAATACAGGTAAAAAGCATGACAATAAAAACCTAAATGAATGAGTTGAGAATCATAAAGACTACAGATGCCTTCATGGAGGGACTAAACTAACTAACTATTTAAGTATGAAAAAGATATGTTGTATGTCAAATGTTATGGCCTTCACAGACATGTTCTATAATGGGTTTGAATCCTCCTGTATGTGTTTTCGACGTTGTTTCACCTATTTTTTGTATGTCTTATTTTTTCCTTTTAAAGAATAGTTAACCTGCCCAGGGACACATTTGCATAATAACGATGTAACTAATGTGTGTTTTCCCTATTAAATAAATGAATAAAGCTCCTATTAGAAGACACTGAACTCGGCGTTCTCGCATGAAAAATTGGTTCGGGGCTTTAGGGCCATAGAAGAAAAACCAGTGAAACAGCATTGGGAACAAGTGGAACAACTAATCAGTACACTGCAGTGGATTGCATTCTGAATGTAACCTTTTCCAGCTCTACATGAAGGCTGTTCCTACTCACTTTGCTGCTCTGCACTGGTCTCAGTCGATGAGGGAGCTTTACAATCCTCTTCAGCCTCTCCATAAGTTGCTGTGTAAGCAAGAACATCAGTGTGTGATTCAGTGACCTGTTTCACCTCACTCAGACATTACGGACAGCCTCCATTGAAAGGCCAACTCAGTTCAGCTAAAGCTGTGACTTCTCTCTTGTCAAGAAAACTTCCTCAGTATAAACATTGTTGTTTGTGATGTATGAACAGTGGACAGGGTGTTACTGTTAGAATCACGTGTATATCACATATATGCAGCGAATCTTCCTTTTATCTCATTTGTATCTATTAATTTCTTTATATTCACTTTCTTTTGTTTTACTTTTTGGGTTATGCATTCACTTCCCCCTTTCCATTTCTTACCTACTTATGTTTTGTATTTCTTCTCTATTATTTCAACACTGTAACTATAATGATTAATATTTGATCAAATACTCATGAAATGCAATAATAAAACAAATATAGTTCACAGTTTGTGAGGCTGTACTCACGTAACCCATGTCCAAAAACTCAAACTTGTTGGCAGAGCTGAGAAAAGCCGAACAGGTGACGAGGTGAACCTAAAAACATCAGAGATTGAAGATTAGATTTCAAACAAGCTGCATGGAATTCGAGACACCAACAGACTGAAATTGAGATTAAGTGGTATTAAATTCATCCCACAACTATCTGCACACTTAGTATGATCATTATCTTCATTCACAAAAGTATAGAAATAAAGACAGTGGTGGAAGTATACCACCACATTTAATCAAGTATACATTTTCAGGTACTATGTGTTTTATCCTACGTTATATTTCTACACTACATTTCATAGATAATACTTTTAACTGCACTACTTTTATCTGACAGCTGGAGTTACTGTAAAGATTAAAGGATGTGGTTACCAACAGTTTTAGCACAGCACAGACTCCTTGTCATGTTTCAGATGTCTATGAGTTGTTAGCAGCTCTATCAGAGAATGATTTAAACTTTAAATTTAAACTTCTCAAATGGTTTCATATGAATAACTGTTCAAGGCCCTTCAAACTTTATTGTCCAATATTACACTAAAAAGTAAATATTTAAAAAAAAACAACAGAAATTTGTGTATCAGAACGTTGTTTACTCTTTTTTCCTCTCGTGCCCCTTTGAAAGGGCTCGACCCCTAGGTTGGGAACCACAAAACTAAATTACTAACTGTATATAAAGTAGTTAAAACTAACTCCAACTGTAAAATACCACCTAATGTCATGCATAATAAATATATCAGTTACATTTTACTGCAGAAGGGGTACTTTTACTAAAGCAGGTTTTTAATTTGCAGGACTTTTACCTAAATAAAGGATCTTTATTTAAGTTCTTTGAAGGTATTATGACAGTTTTGTGAGCCTAAATATGTCAGCAGCTGTGGTTTTTGGTGCTGATTATTACGATTTATTATCAGGTCTTTATTGTACTCTACCTGGAGGGTTGGTAGGAGGGCAGTTAGGTGTGAGAGCTGCTCCTTTAGTGCTTTCTCTTTCTCCTCGTGTTGACTGCAAACACACACACACACAACCATGTAATGCTACACCTTCACATCCACGCCTGCTGAAATACTCAGAGGATTCAGCTCAGGAGGTGCAACCACAAACAACATACTCCATATTTCCAGAAGCTAATCTATCTGTCTTCTCTATCTGTAACAAACACACAGACACAGACGCAGGGCCGGACACACAAAGCCTGACATAAATAGCCTTTAACACCCTTCCGGGAACACAGCCACTGGACGGTTTCCAGGCAATGGAGAAAGAGAGAGAGAGAGATGGAGGACAGTGGGCACAAAAAAATCTCATTAAAGATCCCCACAGAGTGCAACCCGATACACTCACTCACATGCACAAAATTGTTCTCATTCAATCACGCATACGTATGCAGGGAGCGCACACTGAAGGAGAAAAGTGCTCAGCAATGGCTCTCATTCAGATTTTGTCATTTGGAATTCTTGCTGTTTTGGAAATGGGAGTTTGCAGATTCACAGAGAAGTGAGAGACAAGTAGACAAGTAGATACAGAGATAAAACACACATTTCACATCTGCTTATGTTCAAATACCATATATAATATATATATTAGTCATTAATCGTTTGTAAAAATTAATTTAAGCAATAATTTTGAGATAATTTGATTGGAGACTAATTAGTTGCAAACCTTGGCATTAAATCAAATTTTAATGATTGCTGTGGGGATGTAAGACTTTTAATTATTTTAGTGGCTGGATACTTGTGAGTTAATGTTAAATTAATGGTTTGGGAGGCTGTCATAATCCTGTTTTTATAAAGAAATGTCTTTTTTTGTCACTTTACAGTCTGATTTCTGCACAAGCAAGCAGCCAATAAGTAAAATCATGGCAGGCCACAAAAAACAAAAGTTATGACCTTATTCTCAGGTCATATACTGTGTTGAAAACACCACATTAATAGGTGCTTCACAGGTTGTTAATTTTTCAGTCGTAGTTCAGTAGTAAGGTGATAATGGTGCTCTGGTTTTATTCAAATTGGAGGAAATCTACAGACTCTGTCCAGGTTTTCCTGCAGCAGCTGCTGTTGTTGATATTATGGACTTGAGAAAGTCTACCATATATTTGTATATTTGTATACCAATATATTTCAGTTGGCTTCATTTTCATAGATTGAACCGAGGCACAAGCTGCAACAACTCGCTTGAAATCTGTAATCCTACTGAAGCGGTTTTAATTCAGTACCATGCTTTGTTGAAACAAAAATCACCCAAGAAAATGTGTTTGGTGAGAAGAAGGATTATTCCAGAGCAAACAGCGCGTTGCTATTCATCACCCCGAGTACAAAGCTGCATGATAAAATGGAAAAAAACTATCAAGTGACCCGGTGACAGCAGGATAATAGCATTCAATTTGGTAAATATTGTGACACAAGCTTTGTGGCAACAAAAGAGCATTTCTATACGAGAACTGTAAATCTTGATATGTTTTATTTTACCTCTGAGCTGCTTTCAGCAGAATCTTCTTCCTCTCTGCTAGTTTTTCCTGTCAGATGAGAACAGAGAAAACACACCCTTTTATTCCTTACACTGCTGTGAAAATGGCCCTGAGCTCTCTAATACCTAATGAATTTTCAAGATTGTGGGGAAAAAACTGGTAGACATTCCATAGTGGTGGTGTCGGCTCTCTTGGATTGTTCATTTTTCAAAGACTATACACTCTCTTCTCACAGTTAGGGTAACAGAGACACCCAGTGGCCAAACAGTGCAAATGGGAACCTATTGCACACTAACTTCAGAGTATTTGATACTTTGACTTTGCAGAGGACTAGATGTATTTCAGACAAATGGTCATTATTTTAGTCCTCTTTTATCTAACGTACATTTTAACTTACTCTTTGATGGAGTATATTGAATAATTTGGTATACAAAATGAATCTGCACATGCTACTTCACGAGCTGTTTGAATGTCATGGAAGGTTTATGAAAAGAGTAACGTCTGCACAATGACTCCACAAACCACAAATTGATTTAAATGGACAACATTTTGATCCCATTCAGATCTTCATCATGTCGGCATTGAACATGTTAGAACCCGGAGACGAGAAGAGGACATGAATATCACAGTAAGAGTTTTATTTAAACTTCAAACTCTGACACCAAGAGGTCTGAATTAGATTAGAGAATATATTTTGTACATTTAGATATATTTTGAGAACAGCTTCTTACTGGAAGTTGTCCATAGACTTAATGATAAGATGCGTGTGTTACTGTATAATAATGGTGAAATGTGTTTTTCTCCCTTTCATTTAACTAACAACTATTTTGGATATTTCTGATACACTCGTATATTTGATGTATTGTCTCTTTCCTCCAATTCTTTGGTGTTAATGTAGCTTTGACCTGAGTTTTCAATTCTACTGTATTCCAGTTGAATTGTTTGGGTTTATCACCTCAGGCTGGTTCAGAATCACCTGTTTTATAGACATTTTTCCTTCAATAATGGCTGATTTAACATAGATAAAAAAAATATTTACACTGGATATAGTTCTGACCCCAAAAGTAGAAGAATTTAATTATTAAAACTTCTCTTTAGTCGATGTCCCACACTTTTGCATGTCACGGGAGAATACTGTTGTAGCTATTTTTTTACCCAAAATACTAGACCGTAGATCAATACTGAACCACAACGGTGCAACTGGGCTCTAAATATCTTGGGAGCCGGTTTTTCTCTGAGCTCTCTGCAATCTACTCAGTGGTTAGATAGAGTAGGTTTAAACTGTGATTTGTAATTCTGTCTTTCAGTTCCGATAATGCTAACCATAGACCGACCTTCTACTTCTATTTTAAAGTTTTAAGAGTAGCTTTGCTAAAACAACACGTCACATGTTAATTACAGCTTGCCACTGAACAAATACGACCTGTATCCGGAAAGATCCAATGGTATACAAGTTTATGGATCTGTATCCATACCTGTATCATGTAAAATAATAAAGATCTAGACTGTAATCTTCTGCATACTGTCCCTATCTTTGACAAATACAAATGTACAAGCACCCTGGATAGTAACATATAACAGGAACCTGTTCTGATTTAAATCTGCACAGGTTTTGACATTAAACTTCCAATTTCTTTCACCAATGACTTCTGAGTTCCCATGTTCTTCTTAACTGTTGCTCAGCAGTATCTTTGTCTTTTTCTGCCCTTTCACTTTCCCAGTCAGGTTGAACAATTGTACAGTATTTTGTTCTCCCTGTACAAAACATTACTTTTTTCCAAACCCTTCATACAAAATAAAATCTATTTGTAAAGAGCATTTTGTACAACCTAACAGCATGAAAAGTCCATTCAAAAATACATCTGACTGTACTGACTGGGGATCAAAACAATGTCCATTTAGAGAAGGTTTCAAGTCAGCGTGCAGGAGTTACTCTTTTCAATGGGTGAAAAACAGTTGAGTGAATACATCCCATCCGGATCATTACATAACCTGCAAGCTGTTGAACAAAGTACAGATTGCACTCTCTTCTTCCTCCACATTCAGACACACTTCTCCTATCATTGCTCTCAGCAGAATGATCGTCTCTCGAGCTGAAGTCTGCAGCTCCTTCACCACCTACAGACAGAGGAGGAGGAGGAGGAGGAGGAGGAGGAGGTTCACTGTCAATGAAAGGGCATGTAGGCGCACTGCCACACATTTGTCATCAGAGCCTTTATTAGAACTTCAAGCTGAAAGGCATGCATAGTTGATGCTATTTTGCTGTACAAATATACTAATTAAAGTTAAATTAAAGCTTGAGACAGAGCACCCAAAGCAGATTTACTAATGTTAATTTTGGTTCTCTCATATCATATAAATAACCATTTGCAAAACTAACGTGAGCAGAGAAATTACAGCAAAAATCACTTGTATTTGACTTGAGTTAATGCAGCAAAGCTCAATACATATATATTTTAAAAATAGTCCTCATTTATATGTTTATATATTCAAATTGCATTCTGATGAGCTACACAAATTCAGAGTACACCTGCACCACATCTCACAATATCATCACCAATGCTGAGTGCTTGAATTATTCATGAAGCCAAATATGTAGATGAACAGACACGACTCTCTCACCAGTACAGCCTGGTCCAGCATCTCACACCCCTGCACGTAAGCTGTTTCAATATCAATGCAGTGAGTCCGACTCTCCCTGTGGTAAACGAACAACAGCCAATTTAATGTGTAGGAGAGAAGAGAATATTAGACAGTCATAACTTTTGTGTGGTGGATTCACTCACAGTTGCATATCTCTGAAGCACTTGATGCAAAGCATAGACTTATTCTCTGTTGAGAACAGGATGTAGGGCTCCTCGTGGAGCGCTGTGGAGACAGAGATGCCTTTTAACTTCAGCCCACAAGAGAGTTAAAGTATTCTGTTTCTTTTCCAATGAGCAGGTTTGTGAAAAGCAAATATAAGAAGTTTCAGAACACAGGTTGGCTGATGTTTTATACTACTGTCTTACGTACTACTTTCTAAGGAAATTTGAGAACAGGAGGGACTACACCTCTCATGAGCAATATGCCTCTACACTAGTGTAACAAAGCCTTGTTGGCCTGTAATTCATCTGGAGTAATTTACAGGTGGCACTCACAGCACTTCCTGTGTTTGGCTTTGCTGCGTTTGGCGAGCGATACAATCTCATGGTGGGAAAACATTCTGGCCTTGTGAGTCAACTCCCTGCAGGCGCCGCACAGTGGCTGGCTACAAGTGTTACAGTAGTACATCACCCCTGTTTCCTGTGTGAGAAATAGGAATAAAAAATGCAATTGAGAGACAAAGTGGAGAGATGATTATGTAATTTTATATTATTTAAAGCTGTACAGGGCGACATTTGATGGAAAAAACTTGCTTAGCTTCTGTGTGTGTAATTTTAAAAATGTCAAGGACATTGTGGCAACACAAGATTTGGACAGTGAGACAGCCCTTATGTTCACCAAGAGTGTCTTATTTCTTCACAAACAAAAACTTGTGCAGTAAAAATTATTTGAAAGATGCTATAACAAACAAATTACAAAATGGAGTTGTAAATGTGAATGAATTAATGAGACAAATACAAACTGAATCATCATTATGCCATAGTATCTCTCTACGATATAATCATGTTATTGAAAATGCAGGCCTAATTTGTGAATGTGGACTGATGTGGGTCTGTCTGTCAGTTTGTACCTTTTTGTTACTTTCCTGGTCACAGTTGGCGCACTGAACTGTCTCCTCAGTGTCTGCATTGTTGTCGACCAGGAACTTCAGGAGACGGTCCTCTGGAGGGAGGGCGCTATTCCCTTTTACAATGGATGGGTAACTGTGTTAGAGACACACATTCAGACAGAGTGAGTGACTTGTTCAGAGAAAACCATGACATTTAGCACCAAAATTAGTTATAGTGGCAAGTGTCTCTGTTATTCTTTAAGTTGAGGTTTTGCCAGGAACAATTGAAATAGTTTGATCTGATGAAAACTAAGAAAGAGAGTAAAGAACAGTGATTTGTTCTTGCACTAAAAGTCCCTCTCCACTCAGAAATGTGTTTTTCTTCTTGTTACTCTACTTGGAATTTTGACACAGTTAAACTCTGCAGAATGTATTGTACTCTATGTGCAGAGTTTGACACTAGAAGGCTGTTTTCAGATTCATCTGCCGAAGGAAGGAAGTTTCTCTGTGGTCATATTAAATCTCAGTTTAAGGCGTGTATACACAAGCAGGATTTTGTGACATTGTGACTAGTTGGGAAGCCAATCATTGTTCAATATGCAACTTGTGCGGCTGTGAAAACTTGATCTCTTCAGCACACAGTTAAACTTAAGAAGTTAAACTTTCCACATCCCCTAAAACAATAAAAAATAAAAACAACAATAACATATAGGATGAAAATAAAAAACAGAGCTCAAGTTCTTCAGTAATCGAGCAATCCAGAGATCCCTCCCAAGCAAGGTTTTAAAAAAGGAAAGAAAAAAAGACACTAGTAGCAATAACAATCAAAAAATTGATGGAAAAAAATCCATGGAATAGAAATACTGGATTTCACAAGAACAATTCAAAAAGCCAACTCGAGTATAAAAAAAACAATACAGCGTCCCCTCACAACTGAAGAATTTACAAACATCAAGGATATATACTGCTTTATCAAAGACAAGTTCTTTTTAATAACCAGGCCATTCAAATCTGTATGTACAAATATAAAGAAGCATTAGGGCGAGGTATAAACAAAAGCACATTATAATAAGAGAAATAATAGGATATCAAATATCAAATAAATAAAAAAATAAGCTGAAATAGAAAAATAAAGCAGAAAAAAGGAAGATAAAAGTTAGTTGCAGCTACATCGCAGCGCATTAAATGAAGAAACACTCTCAACATTTAACATTTATCATCACAATCAGTTACCTGCAGTACTTCAGAAAACCCTGAGGGGGGCAGCAGTGACGTCGGGGACTCCTCCCACCAAAGAAGAAGAGAATGCGGAAGAGGATGTCAAACATGATAAGACAAACGCGTGTGAGAGAGTGAGTGTGAGCTGGCTGTCATCTAGAAAGTTCCGGCAGGTTCACACCGCTGAGGGAGACACTTTTAATGTAACCGACGGAGGAGGAGGAAAAACATACTCGGCCTTTAACATGTCTGTTATTTCCGAGGAGAAGGTGCGCGGCGGGAACGTTTTCAAGGATATCGGCGCAGACGACGGAGACTGGGAGCCCACTGAGATCGAGAGCCTGTGTATGAACTGCTACCAGAACGGTACGACCCGTCTGCTTCTGACCAAGATCCCTTTCTTTAAGGAGATCATCGTCAGCTCCTTCAGCTGCCCGAACTGCCGCTGGTCCAACACCGAAATCCAGTCTGCAGGCCGGATCCAGGATCAGGGCATTTGTTACACACTCAGAGTCAAAACGAAACAGGACTTGAACCGTGAGGTTGTGAAAGCGGACAGTGCGACCACCAGGATCCCCGAGCTGGAGTTTGAAATCCCTCCCTTCACCCAGAAAGGTGCGCTGTCTACCATTGAGGGGCTTTTGGACCGAGCAGTTGCAGGGCTGGAGCAAGACCAGACAGTGAGGAGGGCCACGCACCCCGAGGTGGCCGAGAAAATAGAGGGCTTCATCCAGAAGCTGAAGAAGTTGAAAGAGGTTGAAAATGAGTTCACTCTGGTGATTGAGGATCCATCTGGCAACAGTTTTGTGGAAAATCCAAACGCCCCTCAGAAAGATGAGGCGCTCATCGTGTCCAGGTTCAAGCGGACGGTCCAGCAGGACATCCAGCTGGGGTTGAGGGCTGATGATGATGATGATGACGACGGCGACAACTTGGAGGAAGAACCGGCCGCCAACGACCTGGACGCCATGAGAAATGAGGTGTTGGTCTTCAACACCAACTGCCCAGAGTGCAACGCGCCTGCCTCGACCAACATGAAGCTGGTCCAGATCCCTCACTTCAAGGAGGTCATCATCATGGCCACTAACTGCGACAGCTGTGGACACCGGACCAACGAGGTGAAATCGGGCGGAGCCACAGAGGAGCAGGGCACCAAAATCACCCTGCACATCACCGACCCTTCAGACATGACCCGAGACGTGCTCAAGTCAGAGACGTGCTCAGTCCTCATCCCGGAGCTGGAGTTTGAGCTGGGGATGGCAGCCGTGGGCGGGAAGTTCACCACCCTGGAGGGGCTGCTGAAAGACATCAAAGACCTGATCGTCTCCAAAAACCCCTTCATCTGCGGCGACAGCAGCACCACAGACCGGGTGCAGAAGCTGAGCGACTTTGGGGAGAAGATAGACAAGATCATAGCTGGAGAAATGGATGTCCACTTCGTCCTGGACGACCTGGCAGGGAACAGCTATTTGCAGAACGTGTACGCCCCGGAGCCAGATCCTGAGATGACTGTAGAGAAGTACACCCGCTCCTTCGAGCAGAATGAAGAGCTCGGCCTGAACGACATGAAGACTGAAGAATATCAAGAGGAGAAAAAAGAACTGCCAGCAGAAGCTGAACGGACTGAATGAGCTGATTATCACGCTTTGTCAAACTCCCAGTGTAATTGTATCGCTCCATATTTTCATACATTTTAAGTTAAATAAGAAACTGAGTAAATGGTTGTTTCCATCAGTAAGTTAAGCATTGGGAGGAATTCTAAGTTGTCTAAATGTACATTGAAAATAGATTGAAGACATGAGTAACTTGATTTGTACACCTAATGGATGCTTCTGTTATTAAAGAGAAATCCTTTAACTCATTGTTTATTGCATTCTTGTGACACCCCAGAAGATGGCGCTCTGTTATCTCTGATTAAAGGGATGTTTTTCTCTAAGGAGGACCACACACTGTGTGACAAATTAATTTTTTTTTATACACCTGTAAGCATGGCATCATCCAAATAAAGTGTTATTGAAACTGATAGTTTAGCTCTCCTCTTTGAATTGGTAGATGTTGAAAGACACAATGTTGTTTTTTTAGATTCAAACACTAGTTTTCTGCACTGATCTGCAAAACAAAATTATATTGGACAATGAACAAAGATTGTTGATTCAGATTCTTCTAAATTCTGTCTGCTTTTTACAGACTTACATGACAGTTATACAGCATATTAATATATTTGGGCTGCAGCTAATGATTATTTCCTTCCTTCATTTTGTTGTCAGAAAAAAAGTATTGCTTCCCAGAGCCCAATGTGGGATCCTCAAAGCCTTTTATCCAACCATTGATCCAAAGCCCAGAGATAACAACTGAAGAACCAGAACCAGGGAATGTCTGCCTGCTTGACTGAAAAGTTTAATAGATTTTTTTTATCAAAATAGTTTCCAATTATTTCAAATTAATCAAATGTAATTCTTTATTAAACAACAGTTCAACTGGGTCTGATTTTGAAGAGCCTGTTCTTGTTAACCCAAAGAGTTAATTCACAGTAACAATTTAATTTCAGCTCGGAAAGGACAGCCAGTGTCTGTCACATTAACCTCATTTGCACAGGCCTGTTGGATTTAAACATAATGCTGTTTGCCTCATTCTGATTCAGTCGCAGTGACACAAATGTTCCTCTCCTCCCCTCGTCTGCTGTGCATGTTTTATCTGGTTTTCATAGCAACGGGGATCTATTGTGTTCTACTAATAGCAGAGTAGTGAATTCCTAGATTACATGGTTCTTGAGTGAGCAGCTGTTAGCGGGCTGCTGCTGCTGATGGAAATAGTAGGTGCCAGGCAGCAGGCCCCCGTAGGCTGAGCCCAGACAGCAGAGCACAGTGGCTCTGTGCCCACAGGGTTATTACCATAGAAAACCAATGACTGCCTGGGTTTTTTCCCCCCCTCATTTCTAAGTACCTTGTGCCATGCATAAAAGTGCTGCTGTTGGTATTCCAGTACTTTGATTAATGCAGCTGACTCGTACACATTATCTACCTGAACACAGGTTATTATCAAATAGCTGTAAGGTAGATAAATGTGGGAGTCGCCTGAGGTGCAGACAGTTTGTCTAAAGTAGCTTTATTAAATTTAATTCACCAAATACAGAGGTAATTTTTTTTTATCTTTAATCTTTGTGCCAAGCACTGTATGATGGTGCTGTGTAGTGTTGTATACTGTTTGACTGCCTGTTTTTTTTTTCTCAGTGTGTACCAATTTCCCTCTGGGATAATGAAGTTAATTGATCAATTGGTGAAACTAATCTAAGGGAATAACGTAATGACATTGAAACTCATCATCACCATTTCAATTTCTTCATCCACACCAGAAACTTTCAGTGAAGTTGTATCTGACACAGTAGAAAAGGCTCATAATAATCACCTTGCAGTAGAGCTACTTTTTTTATACATCCCTGTGCAGCCTGATGGTGGAAAGTTAATACCACAGACCTGAAGGTGACTGTAAACCACGTGTCAGTCCCTAATAGGGGATGAAATGGATTGGTATCATGTGACTGCTTTTGATTGCCCTAAGCTGCTGGCAGCGGTGCCAAATACCAGTATGCTTTGTTTGCAGTGTGACTGGTCTTAGAGGAACTTGCTGGCCCCGCTGAGCATTGGGGCCAAGGACTAAAACAGAGACTGGGACGACCCTGCAGCTGCTCCAGCCACTCAGGACTACCCAGACCAGGCCAGCAACGGGTCACTGAGCAGCACCCTCAAACCAAAACAGAGAGACTTGATGCTCTCTGAAACCAATGGGATTCCCCTCAAATCTCCTGCATGAACCAAACCAATCTACTAATCAACTTATGTGGAACGAATCCCTTTGAGCAACACTGCCCAAAACTGGGGCCTGTGGGAAAAATTTGGCTTTTCACATGAAACGTTTGACCCTCCATGGGGATTCAAGGAGCAACATAATATTTCACTTTAGGAAATTAAACAGCTAAATCGTGTTTTAGCTGTTTGAGATCATCTGCTCATTACACAGCATCGCCATGTTATCATGATATGAGCTTTGTGAGGTTGTAATCTGAATTGAGAGCCACCAAAACAGTCAGTCCTTGACCTTCGGCCACCATATTTTCAGTTTGTTTGGGAATTTATGGCTTTGTACTATAGGTGTGATATCCAGGTTCAGATATCCAACATCCTTTTCTAGTTCAGAAACTCGATTGAAACCATCATTATGTTTGAGGGATTTTTTTTCTTGTTGTGAGGGAATATATTTCATTTGGAAGTTAAAATACAAGAAGAAGTTGCAGAGTGTGTACAGTGTGGAGAAAAAGAACATTATGTTTATGTTGTCTAGAAAATTACAGACTTGCTTTGCTTTTAAGATGGATAATCTACATGCAGCCTAAAGGGGTCCTGATCAACGTCACAGTGCAATTTCTTACCCACAGAGGGGGCAGTTGAGACGGCTGTCATTGGTACGGCCCCGTAGACAGCGTGCACAGAAGATGTGGTAGCAGTCCAACAAACACGGAGACTGGTACTGCTCATGGCACAGGTGGCACACCAGGGGGTGGACATTACTACAGTCCATGTTACAAAGATTATCCAAGTTGGTGAAGATTCCTCCTGCCATCTGCAAACAGAGTACGTAAATAATGAGAAATTGTTTCACTTTATCGACTATTATTAAAAAAAACATATGATCAGCTCACTAAACAAGAAAGTCTTTGCATGCCGTATGGTCTAAATATTCTAGTAATTATAAGAGACTGAGTGTGAAGCTCTAATCAAGAGTCAACTGTTAATAAAAAATAATCAAGTGGAACTTTTTCCTTTCTCTCTCTTACCGTGTCAGATGTGTGATAAGTTCCTGGGGCTTCAGTGACAACACACTATCCAAAGATGACAAGTAAATAACATCAAAGACACTGTCAACACCAACATTATATCCAGACAACAAATCCTACTGTAAATGCAGTAGGTTAGTCTGCAGAAAAGCACAGAGAGCCACTGTCTAACCTCCCACTGGTGCTATCAGCTACCCCCGGCAGGAATGACAGCAATGCAGAAACTCTTCAATAGTAGGCCGATGGGGTCCCTCCGCCAGGCAGCTGACAGCACACACCTCATGCCAGCCCCCCATGTGTTGCCAGAGTGCAAAAGGGACATTTAATATTGCGATCCCATAGAGATTAAAAATACAGTTGTCTCATTTCTAATGTCACACTGTTGTAGGCAGGGTGAATGAAGGGTGAGGGGTGGTAATCACAGCGTTTAAAATCATTGAATCTGCTGGAACACCTACATGTCACATGAAGCTTTATTTTGAATGCCTTTTTAGCACTTTGTAAAACCTGTTTAAGGATAAAGATACATAAAGGAGGCTTGTTATTGTTATTAGATACAGCTGTAATACAGCAGACGTGTGAACATGTTTAATGTGGTGAAAATGAAGTGAATAAAAGTGGTTTGATACATTGAGTAAAATGGATACACAGGTAACTTTTTTGTGCACTATAGTCTATAGTTTTCTAATAATTTCCTTTTAAGTTTACTGAAGTAACTTTCTGTCTTTAAAATAACTGCTACTAAAATGTTCATGCATTATTTAATTATTATAGTCATCTTTATTCCCCATGTAAAATGTTATGCGTGTACATTGTGTGTAGCTGGAATGAGTCTCCCTTATAATAAGTCCCAATATATAGTCCATAACAGGAAACGTTTTAGAAAGTATTAGGAATTTAGGGATGTAAAATAAAACATCACAAAATATCTTGACTCAAAGTCCACTTACTTCTGAGACTTTCAGCTTTCTCCTGGAAATGGAGGCTGTTCACATAGTTGTAATATTCCTAATGAATCAAGCAACCATACATCTAACACTTACAGTTAAAACAGCAGCTGACTTTGGTATTTTCTGGTAAAGATTTAACTCCTAATGGACAAATGTCTCAGTGGGCAGCAGTCATTAAGATCACATCCAAACTCTTTCAACACTTGGTTCCCCATTTACGCCCCAATAAGATCTATTAACAACACTGACATATGAACACAGCGACAGGATTAAGATAGCACATCATAAACCGGCATGCAAAGTGCAAATAAATGCGACTTAATCGATTCCAGATAAATCGATGCGATCGATTTTGCGGCCGGGTATTATACTTCCTGTCCAGCCTTTGCTCCTTCCTTTTTGCTGAATGTGTCAGCCATGGCCCCGATTGTGAGTAGTTCAACGAGCAAATAAAGTGCACACAGGCGATATATTTTAGCTTGTTTTGGGCTCGGGTAGAAGTGTAAACAACCCGTGGACCGTAACGTGGAAGTTAGGGATGTTTGAAGCTGTTTGTTTATCGTTGTTTACTCAGTCTGCTAACACCACGTTGGGCTAACCATAATGCTAACGACAGCTAGCAGGAGTCGACGTGAAACCTGTTTAGTTAGTAACTTTTATGGGTAGTGTAACTTATTTAGAGGTGTTTACTTCCAGTGTTTTCCACATACAGCCTCGGAAACACGATGGCGAATGACTTTAAACAAGTATTAAGCAATTACTTTGGTTGTTTTAAAGTTCTTTATGCTATAAATGTAGTTTTCTGTGTGTTTGAGTGGCCTTTTCTTTTTTTTTTTCTCTTTTTTTCTGTGCTAGAAGAAGCAGGTGGTCCGGAAGCAAGGTGGAAAGAGGAAGAAGCAGATCCTGAAGTTCACCCTGGACTGCACTCACCCTGTGGAGGATGGCATCATGGATGCTGCCAACTTTGTGAGTAGACCAGATCCGACATCTTGTCTGTTAAACAGTAACAGTGCAGCAGCTGTCACACTGTCACATCAGTGGGAATCAATCCCAAGTGTTGTGTTTGGATGTGATGGCTCGGTAAAGCTCTGTCCACGGCTGTGTGTCCCAACCCTGGCTGTGTCCTCTGCTCTTTCAGGAGCAGTACCTGCAGGAGCGCATCAAGGTGAACGGCAAAGCTGGAAACCTCGGAGGTGGAGTGGTGTCCATCGAGAGGAGCAAGAGTAAAATCGCTGTGAACTCTGAAGTTCCCTTCTCAAAGAGGTACGAAACACGACCTGTCGGGATTGCAATATGATTCACAATTTTCATTTTCACTGTGGAAGCTATTGCAAGGATGGTGTGACGTTTTGTTAAGGTCTGTACCAAACAAACGTGTGTTCTTACATCTGGGGAACGAGATTTGTAGGTCAGGACGTCTCTGCAGCACTACTTTACAGTCCTTGTCGCACAGTTTAGATTCATCAAAAGATTGCGATTTGGGTATTGCACTCGGCCGTATTGGTATTAGGTCATGCATACCACAAGAAGGGGACGTTCATACGGGTTCTTGTGAACGGGGTGAACATGACCCCGTTAGAAGGCAACATATGTCACGTTTGGCGACTTCAACCAAACGGAATGAATCATGATGTCGAATAAAAGTACAGATGGTAAAACTTGATTATAATTCAGGTCAAGTTTCTTCCATAGATACAAGAAGCAGCTATTCTGAACAGCATTCATTCAGTTTCAGCTTTGTTGGAATAAATGTGGTTTTAACTGAAGCTTTGTGGGTGTTTAAATGCTTAGTCTCTATTGGAGGTAAACACTGCGAGGTTAACGCTCATCATCCAGTACTGAAACACACATAATGTTAATTCTTTAATTAATAATGTCCTGGTGTGATCAACAATAAATATCTTTTATACCAGTGTTTTATTTTCACTAAAAGGCCAGTTTAGGCAGATATATATAGCTAGAAATGGAATATAAAATACATAGGTATGTTTCCATTAGTGTATAATCACCTGAAAGTATGAATCGTTGCTTTCATTACCTTTTACAGAGAGCTGTTTTTATGTGTGCCAGGGATTATCCAGCCCTGCAGTTATTTTTTTTGGTTTTATTTGTAGAGGTTTTCTAAGGTTTTTGCTGCAGTCTTGTCCCACTTGCCCCATACGATGGAGGTGTAACTTTTGTCTGTGGTGCCCAAAGCACCGAGAGATGCATTCATCAGGAACTACTCAACAGTTGGAAAAAGGCAAAGAGAAGAAGAAAATGTGTGTCCTTTTTCACAGCAGACATTTTGACTTGTCAAAGTAGGGACAGCGCAGGTTTTACTAATAACATTAACTTTAACTTTGTTCTGTTCAAGTGTCCCAGTAAGCTGTGACAGTGAGTCAGCATGCACAATAGCCGTACCCTGAAACCAAAACATCAAAATGGAATTCAGTCGTCGTTAATTTTATTATTTACACCTGTGCCACTGTTTCTACAGTGACATGTCAACGTGGCTTATTTTTTAAAAAAAAGGCTCATTCCCAGCAAGGTCTGTGGGATATCATGAGTCTGTATGGGTATACACAACTAAGGTTGAGTGGGGAAAAAAAACAACAAAAATACACTTTTTACTTGTTTGCACACAACAGAAAGAGCCTAAAAATCCCCCCAAATGTCTCCTACTTAGACAGTCAACAACTGAACTGAGTACAGTGATGTTATGTATAATGATATCCTCTAATATTAAAACTGATTTCCAAATTTGAAAGTATACACAGACACATAAACACTGTGTGAAGACTTCACTAACTATTTCAGTCTGAGCTAGAAACTCCACCACCAGAGGGTGACTCCACCACTTCCATTCTTAAAAGGAGAACTGAAGACCTGTAAAAGTCACTGGCAGATGTTACTATTAGTATATTTAATATAATTGTTTGTAACCTCTGTGTAAGATAGAGCTCCCCCTTCTCATTGTCATTAATTTAAATATACACAGACCGCATTTCTGCCAGTGACACACAACACTGCTTAAATCTGTGTGATGATGAATTTAATGAACTCCAGATTTGGGGGTTCTTATTTAACTTGACTTGTATGTTACTGTATTTTAGGGCCAGTTAATATTCCAAAATCCAAATACAGAACATTTGCTTTACTCTGTTTTGTAATGAAAAGTACGGTTTTATTGCATAATTGCTAAATAATATTTCTTAATAATTACTTACTATTATTAGAAGTTGTGTTTGACACCCATTTGTTTGTCCAAGCACATTTAATAACTACAGAGCTGCAAACTCTGGTGCAGATCGTACTGATTATGAATAAGTTATAAATATTACCTTTTGACCAATTTCTCCATGATGGTTTCACCCCCCCCAATCATCTCTTTCAGGTATTTGAAATATCTCACCAAGAAGTACCTGAAGAAGAACAACCTCAGGGACTGGTTGCGGGTCGTGGCCAACACCAAGGAGAGCTACGAGCTGCGCTACTTCCAGATCAACCAGGACGACGAAGAGGAGGAGGAGGAAGATTAAACCTGAGACCACTTCTAATAAAATTGGAAAAGGGAGAAAAAAAATTTGTGTCTTTTTTAAAGCAATGTGCTTTTATTTTATTCTCTGGGCATCACTCACATACCAGAGCTATGAATATATAACATATAATAATTCTGGTACACTTAAAAAAAAAAAAAAAAGCCATTTTTAGACCTGTTTGTTGGTATCTTTATTTTTGGTACCTTTTACCTAAATTAAGATGCCTAATGAGAAAATGATCTTGATGCCTTATGTGCAGAAATCAGTGCCAGCAAATCTCATTACAAGGAACATAACATTTAAAAGTAGAATAGTTCTGTTATTAGAGGAAAAAATAAAAACAAAAGGGCTTAAAATTAATTGTTAAACAATTAAAATAAAGTTTTTTGGGGGGGGATTTGGTGGAGAAAAAACCCTCCACTGCAGCATGTACAGTCAGGACACTTTTGATTTGAGTATTTTGATGCATTAAGTGAAGTTGAAACTCGTGTGCTGTCTCTGGTGAGCTCTCTGTGGGGCATCCTGTGTTACAGCTGTGGTAACCTTGACAACAGTTAGACCACTGGCACTCAGGACTCCTCTCACAGCATGCAGTCATCAGCCTGCACTTGGGTGTTTTTTTATTTTTTATTTTTTTTTTATGTCTGTGTGTGTATGGAAGTTTTCCAAAATAAAAGACACACATTCACAGTCGGGTGATTTCTGCTTTAGGATTGTGGCGTTAATTAAATCAGACCAGGACATATGAATTAACATAAACATTTTCCCCCTTTTTTTGGGAAGGAATAAATGTGTTTTTTTCTTTCTCCCCCCCTCCCCCTTACAGCCAGGCTTCATATTTAGAGTAAAGGTTGTGAGTGAAGCAGCAGAAGTTTCTGTCTCAATTCTCCGGACTTCCAAAAGGCAACGGGCAGGCGACAGGCGCGCACTGTATCCGCCTATTAGCGGCACATGGCGTTGCCGCACGGTGTGTTTTTTCTTCTTCCGCACACTACTAGTTGAAGTGGTAACTAGGAGAGCATGACTAACTAGTTGTGGGTGAAATTATGGGATGCATCGTCATGGCAACAGACCAGACGTCACAATCTGGGCATGTGTGTTCCATTTTTGTCTTTCTTATTTTTCAGACTGGAAGACCTGGATAGAGATCAGTGGAAAAAAAAATAATTATAAATGTTTTTTATTTTTCACTCCCGGAGAGAAAGCCCCAGATTTACTGCAAACAAATAAAATTAAAAAAAAAAAAATTATCTCAACTGAGCGGCGAATACATTTCTTTTTCTTTTTTTTTTTTTGGTGAAGAAAGAGACTGGGCTGCGGCGTCTGGAGGGTTAACTTTCAGTATTCTCAGTCTAAAAGGGGGTTTGGGGGCTATGAGATAAAGATGCCGGGGTCGCTGAGTAATGAAGACGAGGGACAAGACGACATGGATTTTGAAGACGATATGCCAGGTGAGGGAAAGGGGGGAGGCGGGGTGTCCTTCAGATTATTTTGCGCCGCTACGCCTTGAATGCGGGGAAAAGGGCTTGTCCTGCGTTCCTGAGACCAGAGAGGAGGAGGAGGAGGGGGGGTGGGGTGCAATAAGCAGAGTCATGCTATTATTTTTTTGCACGACCTAGTGTCTTAAAGGTGGGAACGGGGTTTTTTTTTTTTTTTTTTTTAGGGGGGTGGCGGCGGGGGGGGAGAAGATTTGCCTCCGGCTGTCCTCACATCCAGCTTAGATTTGGGGGCATGATGAAAACCCTTGCTGCATGGTTTCTGTAGGCTGTGTGTGTTTGTTCTTTCACAGGCTGCATGCGTGTACAAGTGAATGGCTTTAAGTCCCCCCCCAAAAAAAAAAAAAGAAAGAAAGAAAAAAAAGCACAAGTTTTGTTTCAGACAGCTGTTTTAAAACCATGACAGTGTATTTGCTGCTGTGTCGGTGTATGCTGTGATGTTTCTCTTGATGTGTGTGTGTGCATATGCTTTTAAGTAGAAATGGGCTACAGTGACAACATCCGCGTTGGGTTTTTTTTTTTTTTTTTTTGTAACAGAGGATGCGCTGCTGTTTTCCACTTGTGATCAGGAGGCTGCTCCAACTTTAAATGATATTCCAGCTCTGCATGGCCGCAGAGGTGCGAAAAAGCCACGTGTAGGCTACAGTAAACAGCGCTTTATCAAGTGTGTCTTGGTGTGCCTTTTGCCTCCATCCTGTGCGCCTGTTGACGGCCACGGTTAGGTCACCGACATCCCTTTGAGCTGTAGGTCGTGCACTAACTGAAATGAACTGTAACCCACATTCTTCACATGCAGCTCATTCAGTTCTCATGGAGGCTTCACGCAAACCAAAAAAAAAAAAAAAAAAACTGTGCGATATTTCTTGTGGCTGTAAAAAAAAAAAAAAAAAAAAAAAAAAAAGTAATCTGTCAGCCACACTCACTGGCAGTCTACCAGATGTAGTTAAAATGCCATTTTCACTCCTCAAAAAAATGTTAAGAACTAATCAAGGCACAAGGGATGTTAAGATGAGCTAATTAATTACCTGTACACAAGAGGCCACTTGACAATGATGGTCCTTTTGTTTTTCTTTTGGCTGTTAAGTCTGTCAGTCTTTGTAGCAGGTGTTCACACACCCAGTGATTTTATCTTACCTTAAAAAAATGTGCTAGTGAAACTGATAAAGCGCCTCATAAGTTATGGAAATGGTGTTTTATTGATCGAGATGATGTTGATGTTTCCTTCATGGTCTAAGATTGATATTTTCTTGACTTCTGCTCCTCTGGTGATTAGATAAACCAGTGGTGGCATTATAGCTGGCATGGGCTTAAACTGCTAACTGGGATGTCTGACAGCCTCATCAAAATAAACATCTATCTCAGTCTGCCCTGAAATGCTAAAGATCTGTTTCCTGGTCAAGTGTGTCAGGCTCTGAGGTGACAAAGTGCCCCCTTATTTCATCCTACTGGGCAGAGTAGAAGGCACCTTTATGCCGTGGTGTCAGTTTTGCCAGTGATGTCAATAGATTCATATTTTTCTCTTGCAGCTCGCTCTGAGCACCAGATAATTCGATGGTTTGATGTCAGGGGCAGGACTTGAAAAGACGCTGCTTTGTCTTCTTCCTTCCTTTCACGTCACAATGTGGGAAAGTTTTTATGGTTATAAAAATAGACAGAGTATGAAAGGAAAGTTGAGGGTGTAACAATACAATGCAATGTTGTCTCCAGCCGTAGGCCCGCCTCTCATTAATTGCTGCCGAGTGATAATGTGTCACACAAAACAGAGGAGTTGGTTTTTGGTCAGAATGAAGGTACTTTATGGTTTAAAAAAAGGGAACATACATAGACTATCCCCCTGAAAAGGTACACGGAACATAATGATGAAAGTTACTAAATTTACTTTACTTAATTTTCACACAATATGGCTGCCGTGGTACATTTCTTGCTCATTTTTCATGCTTAAGGTCTTGAACTTAAAAAGCTGGTATATTTTCTACCACTGTTACAACAAAGGGGATAGTTAATTGCCACAACCTATAGTAAAGTATTTACTTTTTCTAAAGCATGATTTTCTATCATTGACATGTTTTAGAAATTTCCCTTTGCTTGTCGCATACGGTCTGAGCAACACATTTTTTCTGTAAATACGCAATGTTTTTGATAAAACTGATTAATACCTTGCAGCTTGCATTGGCAGGTGTGCGGCCGGGAGAGAAACAGACAGACAGAGATAGAGAGAGAGAGAAGGGGAGAGACACAGAGAGGAGTGTTGAGCGGTTGAGGCAGCATCTATGACTGCCAGCCATATAGCCTGAGGGAGAACACAAGCACTGATGCGTGTCCCCAATAACCCAGTAGTTGGTTAAACATGTATGAGAAAGGGAAGGTGCAATTGATTATGGCAGGTGACTGAAGATGTGTGATTGGTAATCCAGTTTGAAAAATCTGAACATTTTCATGTGTCAGTCAAAATTACTTTATGGCTGCCTTGATATAATTTGGTATTTTTATGTTGGTAATAAACACATCAAAGGGACTCTGTGTGGGGGACTTATGGAGTCCCTTTGATATGACACACTGTGCTGAGAGATATATTGTATTGAAGGGTAGATGTGCTGAAAATCAGTTGACCAACCAGTTTTAAGCCAATATAAGACATGATAGTTGGTTTATTAAGATAGTCACGCTGTTATGGTTTTCAGTAACGGGTTGCGTCTTTTAAAAAATCTTATATATCACTAACGAGTTCAAAGTCAAGTTCTCTTATTGTCTTGTATACAACAGTTACAGTGAGGCAGTCGTTGGCAATGAAATTCTTTGATCTCAGCCTCCCTGCGACTCTGCTCTTGCATATATATTTATAAAATATGTATAAAGAAAAAATCACTAATGTGGAACACAAGACATAAAATAGTGCAGTAGCTAAAATATGGGAATAAGATGTATAAATTAGAATATGAAGTAAAATATAATAATATTGTAACCTGGTAAGTAAAAATAAAAACTGTAGTGTAAACAGGTTTTGCACTAATACAGTAATGCAGTAGACATAATGAGAACACACCAATGACATCTAAATTAATATATATTCTCTGATGGATAAACAGCTTATAACCAGATGGTAAAATAAATATATATATATATATACTGTGATTTATCTCCATTAAATCCATTGTTATGCTGCTGATACAGGAAGCAGTTTTCAGACAGTTTACGACCTCCATCAGCAGGCATTCAAAGTGACAGACAAGGTCAGGAATTCCGGTCAGTTTTTTTCCTGGCATCAAGATGCTTCCATGCAATTAAAAGACAACAATGTAGAGGCACGTCCTAGGGGGACTTCAGACCTCAAAATGCTATCCTATCACAGCCTTTATTTGTTGTGGCACATAAAGTGTCCTAATTCCCTTTGTTTCACTCTGGGTGCTTACACTGTCACAGATTGTTCCATTGTGTTTTCTGTTTTAATTGTTTTGTTCTTCCCTAAAATTGAAAGATTATCATGGGCTTTTGTGTGCCTACAAATGTTATCCCCAATTGGAAAGGGTTCTATTTTTGGATCCTTCTCTGTGAAAGTTGACACCATTTTTTCCGGCTGCGCGTGCACGAAGGCCTGTGCATGAAAGATGCTTTTTTTTTAATGTGTATTTGCAGATGAGCAGCGCAGTGTTTTATATCTGCGTTATATCGCACACATCATGAGCTTGTGCATATATAGTCTACGATGGATGTGATTTTAATGTTTCTACTTGGGCTTTATCCTTCCATCACTTTGATGATTACATTTTCTAATAATAGTCTATGGATGTCTTTGTCTGAAGGCGTTTGAGGCCTCAGCTATAAGCACTTAATCAATGAAAAGAGGAAAACCTATGGCTCTGTATTTCCTCCTTCATGGAAAGTAATGCTGGGCAACATTAAGTGGGCATTTCCACAAGGGGGCCAACAGAGAAAGGGCTAATGTGCTTTCCAGTAAACTCTAGCTTCCTCACTTGGGAGTCGCTCATGAATCTCCTTTCTAATGGGTCAGTCCGGTGGCCAAGCCCTTGCAGGAAGGTCAGAACTGTGTCTGTGCCATCCGTCCACACTTTACAGAAGGCTTGTTTGCCAAGTGGAGCTTTGGTCCTCTTTCTAACCCAATCTGGTGCCAGACTTCCCTGTGCCACATGACTGAGCGACCTTCCCCCCTTCCAACACCTGGCACAGCCTGGTCCACTCACTAAGCAGAAAGATTATTATTCCCCTGATGGCTTTCCCTTTGGGGAATTCACAGGCCATTTACTGTAGGCCGTTCTCAGCTTATAAGGCAATGCAGGTGTTAAACACAGACATCTTTTTTTGTTTGTTTTTTCATTCAGCTGCATTGCTGTCAAACCTTCTGCCTATAAATGAAATGCATTGCCAAGATACCATTTGTGTATGTGTTCAAAATTTTTATTTGACTCTATTGCAGCTGTGAGCCTGTACTTCAGGCACAGCGATGCTTTGAGCTAAATGCTACCATGCTCACAGTGAAAATGCTGATGTTCAGCATCAATTCACCATCTTTGTTTAGCATGTTGGCAAGTTAACATCTGCAAATTAGTATTAAATACAAAGTACTGCTAGAAGCAGCAGGAATGTCTGTACCAAATTTCTCAGCAATCCGTCCAGTAGTTCTCCGTTGAGATATTTCACTCTAAACTAGACATTTCATTAGGATGGCATTATATAGGATCAGGGATTATAAGAATATTTGTACAAAATGTTGCACCAATCCATCCAGTAGTTGTCCATCTTAATTCACTAGCATGACTAGAGCATATAATCCAACTTTTAAAACCTTCATCAGTAACACCTCACCGCCGCTGTCAAGTTTGAGTGATTTATTGAAAAGAAAGCAGAACAAGGGACACACGGTCCGGCATCCACTGGTGTATCTAATCAGTGATGTGTGGTCAACCTGTCACTCACAGTTCACTCATAAAACGAAAGGGGTACAGACAGAATGATGCACTGTGTGCTTTCTGTAATCCAGGGCCCTTTCAATCTGCATCTGAGCCATGTCATCATCTGTGAGTCTAAGGGAGATGTAAGGCTTACTGGGCTGCCATCATGACTTGCCTGGCAGGCGGCTCACATACATCTGAGACATAAAAAGAGCTCCCTGTTTGAGATCCTGGATACATAAACTCAAGGCTTTATTTAGAATGGAAAAATAAAGCAGAGAGAAGCACGTGGGTCTGTGTGTGAGGCACAAAGTAAAAATACAAAGATTACAAAGCTGTTTTAGAGGCTTTTTACATGAAAATGGTTGGATTTTACAATAATCAGCACCAGAGAAAAATGATGTCAGCCTTAATATAAAAATATTGGGCACATAAATCACAAGTTACCCCCAATTAGCACTAAAGAAGTGGTGACATATGTAATTTGGTGGTCAGAGGAAACACAATGAGCCTGCCATTGCTACTGATTAAAGCTTTGAAATCACTGGTATGTACTGTATGTGTGTGTGTGCGTGGGGTACCTCCTGCTAGCTTTGCTAAATAGAGGATAAGTGGTTGGTGAGGTTTGTGTGTCTACTACACAGGAATCCCTCCTCCCCGATCTCTCACTCCAGCTACCCAGGGGAGTGGTAGACTGCAGGGCTAGTGTTGGCTGATTGACTCTGATACATGTGCTGCATATTTCATGCCCTCCAGTCTGTCTGCGTAAGATGCAGACAGACTGAGGAGACAGAAAGACGGTCGGATACACAGAGGGAGAAACAGAACGAGATCAGATCGACCTTTACGGGGAGGTTGCATCCTATGAGTATTTCTCTGTGTGTCTCTTTATAGTAATGTATTGTTTGGGACTGTCTTCCTTACTTACTCCTCTGTGACCCACTATGGCATCAGTGAAGTCTGCTGCGCTCAGCAGTCAGCACGTTTGTACACAGCAGCTTTGAGACAGTACAGCTGACAACCAGCAGCAGGTCGCTTTAGTCCCAGCAAGCATTAAAGGCAGAAGATATGCTCAGTATACCTCAGTGGTCCTCCAGGGAGTTCCCATTTACCGGCAGGGCAGGCACTCCATCTATTTGTGCTTTGACGGGTAAAGTTGATCCACACTCAATGATGTGTGATTATGAGCTTTATTTTTTCCAAGTGCTCCTGTTGGTCTGGCATTGAATCATCTTTTATTATTTTCTAAAACAGGTGAACTGACTTTTCACTTAGCGGTATCTCCCAGTGCTAGGCCTGCAACCAGTGTTACTTTTGACAGCAAATGTTTTAGTCACATTTTAGTCATTTGAATTGTTTTAGTTCGCTAAATATTCTAAAATTTCTAAATCAAGTCTACTAAATATACAGTTCAATACAGATACAGATTCAAATCTAACAGTTTAGTTAAAGAGTAACTGTATTATTTGAATGTTTCTCTAGAATATATAACATTATTAACATTAATATATACTTATACTTATACTTAACCTTATATTATTACATATTTGTATAGTGAACTTAACACTTGGTTTTTTTAACTTGTATTGTATTTCAGGTTTAGTAAAAAGGCACCAGCTCCGGTTAGTTAATAAATAATGTTATAATACACTAAATGAGCCTACCTTTGGGATGACTCATCTGCAAATGTCACTTAAAGTTTGTTGTGTTTTATCGCTCCTGGCGGTCTACAAATGTTCTTGCTTTCCTCTTGTTCTTTTCTCTTTTTCTCTTTCTCCCAAACGTTGACATTTCTGTCCAGTTTGTGAGACACTGCTGCAAGTGTGTGCTAGTTGACTTCCCGGCCGGATCAGTCCTATCCAATTATGTGCATCTAACCTCCCTACCACACAAGGAGATTAGTTATGATTGGATCTCTCCCCAACACATCCGTCCCTAACATTTTCATCTGTAAATAGTGTAAACAGATTCAATCATAGTTTTTGTCATCATAAATGAGTTTTTATTTAGTTATCATCCTGTTTTCATCAGTGAAAAAATCTCAAAATGTCAAAACCTCTGACGAATATTATTTGTTAATGAAATTAAGACTGCCTGCATCTAATGATTATTTACATTATTGATTAAACTCTTTCTTTCTATCTTTTTGATGAATTATTTAATCATAATCATTACGTCGCTTCTTCTCTACGTAGCTGTCCAGAACTCACCATTTTTCTTTGATAAATTACTTAAACAAATAATTAATATTCAAAATTGTTGTCAATCTGTTTTCTGTTGATGGACAAATCGATTAATCAGCGAATCATTACAGCAGTACAGCGTACGAGCCACAGTGTATTTGTCAGTATAAAGACAAGCTGAAATGGCCGTCGAGTTGAAATACTCGTACACCACATTGTGCACTAAACAGATCATGTTTTTGTTTCTGTGTGTCCAGACGAGGATGACGAAGGTGAACGCAACACTGTTCCCCTTACACCCCTTGACAGCTTCTTCTCTGACAACGACTCCCTCAAACAACAAAAGAAGAAGAAGCCCAAAAAGATGAAAGAGGGGAAAATGCCCAAAGTAAAGAAGAGGAAAAAGGAGGTAAGATGTAATTCACACTCAACACCATCTGTCATGACCTCGGACGCAACAGCTTGGCAGGCATTTTGGCTTGAGCTGTACTCCGCTTTCTCTATTTTGCAAACCATCGCTCTTTTGATGTCTCTGCAATTGGATCAAAGGTGTGTTTTGGCTGCCGGACTGCCTCTGTGATCTAAATGAGAGGCAGTGGACTGTCTCAGGCTTAGGGGAGGTTGGCAGCAGTGTCCCCGTCATTGCCAGTGTAAGCTGTGTGCACCGAGGGCCAGTTTAGAGTGTAGATTTGTGCCTGTGGTGCCGGTGCTGATGGCGGTGACTGTAGGTCAGAAGGACAGTTTGTGCCAGGCAAGCAGTGGGAGTCAGAGCTGTGACAGAGTGGTTCTGACAGTCGACTTTCTCTGGCCTTTAGTCTCCAACATTTAGACAACAGGTCAGAGGTTTGAGCTGCTTCCAGAATTAACCCTGGTCACTTAATTTAACCAGATTTGTTATGGTGAGGTCACTAATCACTGAGGTAGGCTAACCACAATGCTTTTAAAGCTAGCTTATGGGGGACTGCCCATTTGATCCAGCAGCCAGTTATCCCAAAAACAACAGCCCATTATCCCGACAACAACAGCCCACTGCGCCTAAGGCCTGCTTTTCCAAAAATACATACTCTCCCAGGAGTTTTGGACGTGCACAAATGGAAGAAGTCAGGTGACTTTTATTAGGTAATTTTTGTCGTCATGGTAACAATAATAAACATGTGGTTAACGTTGTGAAACAGCCGCAGTTTGAGTATAGGCATCAAAACTACTTGGTAATGTTTAGGAGGAGCTCATGTGGGTTAAAATAAGTACGTTAGTTACATCAGTTTAGTTCTGTGGGTATCTTTTGGAACAACGGGCCTTCAGAGCAATTGGACTGTTACAATGGGACGTTTTTCAACTATTGGGGTTTTGAAATAATGGGAAGTCAGAACAATGGCATGACACCAGTTTAGGTGGCTTTTGCTCAACAGTGGCAAATGGGACAAAAGTCATATTTACAGGTATGCTAAAAAGTAGTGTAACAGTAGTGAACTGTACAGCAACTATATTGAAAATTTGCTAACATTGGCCATCATCAATAAGGCTGTCACTGCAAAAACCGTAATTGGTTGAATTAAGCAAAGGTGGGTTATATTGCTTATGAATTCACCATTAGATTTTTAAGAGGAATCAATGTAATCAGACATATCACACTATGGTACAAGTGTTAAAAAACCATTGATTATTTTTTCATCCAGAAGACATTAGACATTAGAAGTCATTTGTGATTCCAATATTCCAATATGTTCAATATTCACATTACTTGTTGCTCTGTTTTGGCCTCCACCGACTTTTAGAGCTCCAGAGCTGCGCTGAGGCAAACATCTGGTTCATAGATACATTCTGTGTTCACCAGCTAGTTGCTAACTTTGTCTGTGTGCTGGGACAAGTTGTGTAGATCAGATCCTTCTTACTAAAAAACACAACAAAACCCCAGCTTCTTGCTACGGTTGGAAATTACGTTGATGATGTTTGTTGATTAGTGTTGGACCATATTCTGTGACCGAATAAGTCCTACCTACATCTCTGCAACTCCTAACCATAACCTAACTTAAGCCCTAACGCCAAGGTGAAACTGACTTTGTCGGAAGATATCGTGCAAAAAAAACCAAAATCCAAATAAGGTCACAGAATTTGAGGAGATACAGAACTCAGTGTAACAGCAGAAAACTGAGGCAATGAGCTAAAGGGGAGCTGCAGACGGGTGATAGCTGTCAGTGCATTTATCACCATGAGCAACGTATTGTTACACTACACATGTTCATTTGGTTCACTTTTACCATGAAAAGTATTGATGAGGACAGCTTGAAGGGGAATTTGACAAACAAAGGCGACATCTCATAAAGTCTCACACTGCCGGGAAAAAGTCTGATTTACCCTAATGTTTCCTGACAATTTAGCCAATCTGAGACTGCATAAGAATTTTTTATTCAGTGATTACAGGAATTCAGTGTATTCCCAGTGTGTTTCCCGCCTGTGTTGGCGATGGCTTTAACAGTGTCAGTGACATAGCCAGGATGTTCCCCTCCGCTGGCTGGAGATGCCAGCAGTGCTGTGAGGAGCTTGGCTGGCCAGCCTGCCACCCGGCCCTTTGGCTGCTTGTGGTAAACACTGAGCTCTGGGTCTCACTGAGCTAATGAGGGGGGGACTCCCTCTGACACTCTCCTCTCTCTCTCGCTCTCTCTCTCTTTAACACAAACACACACACACACACACAGAGACTCTGCTCTGTATTCTCCTCTTTCTTCCCTCGCCTCTCGTCTCTCGCACGCATCACCTCACTTTGCCTTGGTCGTGATGCCGCTGCTTTTGTTACTGCCTTTGCGTCATAGGAACTGCAAATCTTTCTTTCCTTCCAGCCTCCTTATTATTTCTTTTTCTCTCACTCGCCCTCCCACTGAGAAATCGCTGCTGCTGTAATTCACTTCCAATCACTCCCCAAAGGTTCGTGTCAGACAGGGGCCAAAAGTCAATTGGGGTCAGAGACTGTCAGTGGCACATCCCAGTCTCAGGTCAGAGCTACTGGCGGGAGAAATGGAAACCAGGGAGAGATGTACTCTCTCTCATCTGCGGCGAAACAAAGGAACTATGTAGACATGAAAGGATGTTCTGTGTTCCTTCTACCAAAGAAATCTGCTAAATCAAGGGAGTGTGAGTTTATAGGAGGCAGTTAATTTTATTAGAAAAAGAAGAGGCTGCAGTTTGGCCACAATAAAAGCTCCATGAAGCTGCGAGGGAGCTTCTTGTAGCTTTAACATTTTGCTGAAGTACAGTCGGTTTGAGATGAGCCTCTGTCTTGTTTTTATAAGTTCGGTATCCTCTCAGGGATTGTGAGTCAACAGAGAGCCGTTGCTGGTTTCTGGGAAAAAGAAGAGGCTCTTGTTTTGGAGCCATTAAGTGTTTTTACAGCAGTATTTTTCCTTGTTGAACTGGATTTTATTGAATATCCACGTCTTTGCTCATTTGATATTTTCTGTGGCATCCTCTGCAATCTCCCTAAGGCAGAGCCATTATGGGGAAGCATCTAATTTGATTACGTTATCATCGCTTATCTGATTTCCTTCCCTCTGAAAGTAGAGACACCCTCTTTGTTGCTGACGGTGTCCTCGTTGGTCCTATGATGTGTGTGTAACATTGAACTCTGGGCCCCGATGAGGATGTTGCACAGTTCCACCTTGTCTTTGCAGTTGCTCTCAACAGTGGTTCTGCTTCTTTGCTTTTCCCTCCTCTATCTCCACCCCAACTCCCATCCCCCATCCCCACAATCTTCAATTTACTCTCTCTCTCTCTCTTTCTCTTTCTCTCTCTCTCTCTCTCTCTCTCTCCTTCTTCTTATGCATAAATGAGATTTGTCTAGACGGGTGCTGGAGCGCTAGCTCTGCAACCACAGGCCTCTGCATAACAAGCTCGTTATGCAAACGTGTCTGATTGGATGGCGCCGTTCCATTGGCTGCCACTGTGATAGAGTGTGTGTGGGGTGGGGGGGGGATGAGTGGCAGGATAGAAAGAAAGAGTGAGAGAGAGAAAGAAAGGGGGAGCTGTTAAGAGAGAGAGTGAGAGAGAAAATAATGGGGGGGGGGGCTGCGAGATGTGAAAGAGAGAAAGTGAGAGAAAAGGAAGGCGTGCGGGGGAAATGAGAAAGAGAGAGAAAACTAAGAGGAGAGAGAGAGAGAGAGAGAGAGAGAGAGAGAGAGAGAGAAAGAGAGAGAGCTAGAGCCAGACACTGCTCAAATTTGGTCACCATAGCAACACAGCCAGGCTGCTGGTAGGGTTGGCGGGCGCTGCGGCAACGTGAGCCTTTCCACTGCGCTACAGAGCAAAACGCCTGTAAGTCTCTCCATGGAGCCACACAGGCCTGCTGAGCAACAGGCAGCGGGCAGAGCACAAAGCTGCTGTGCACTAATTCACTCCATAGCATGTGTGCACACATGTTCACACACAGACACCTATGTACTGTACATACATACATACATACATACATATACAAACACGTCTTTACACAAAAGGGAAAGAAACACACACACACACACACACACAAACAAGAGAAAAATAAAACCAAACACAAAAAGATAAACACATGCAGAGACATGCACAAGAACTGACACACACACATTCAGCCCCCACAAAAACTGAACACACCCATTCAGAAATATACATACCGCATATGCACAAATACACAAACATGCTCACACACATAAGCACACAAATAATTATAATAAGTGAGTGGTGCATACACCGAGAGAATCACCAGATACTTTTCGCTCTCACTCTTTTCTCACGCACGCTCGTGCTATCACGAGCACGCACCAGTGAATTTGTTCATATGCAACACTCTTGATCACACAAACAACACCTGTTAACTGTTAAATCCATATAACCCTCCAGATGTCTCATATTAAACAGGCAGGATTCAGCTCAGTCTTCAGATCAGCTCTGAGCGGTGATTGGCTGCGCCGCATGAGATCTTCTGTTTCTTGGTTCAGTTTGTTGCCGAAGCATCTGGAAAAGGTGAAAGCGCTTGTGACGTGATTCCTCATCAGCTCACGCTCACTGTTGACTTGTAATGTAATAATTTATAAATTTCATCACAGGCAGAAGAATTATAATATTAGTAGAGCAGTGACACTTTGGAATGATGTAATTTAATTTATGCAAATACCATCAAGAAGAAGCTTTTATCCAGAGTGCTTCATAGTACACTGACAGCACATTTTTTTAGCGTGGGTGGCCTCTGTGGGAGCTCTAATCCCTAACCCTGGCAAAATTAATGCTATGCTTATTTGCCCTATCATTGAGTTTCATGTTTTAATTATTCCCAACTTTTTTTTATCACTAGATTTGAAATTCTGTCTTAGAAGATACCTCTAACTGGAGATAGATTTTCTTTGTTGTGTGAATGGAGAAAGTCAAACCTCGAATTCACTCTGGAAACTGGCTTTGATGCCAGTTTGAGTCAGTCACGTCTTGATGTAGAGAGCTAAAGCAAGATTCAAAGTCAGATTATGCCTCTTTACATTTATAAAAATAGCTGTTTGGCAGGAGCTCTTGGCTATATAAAAAATGGCTTGGGTGAAATTTCCCTCAGCAGAAATTTTGTTTTATTTTTGTGAAGATGTAAAGGTGAGAGGGATCAGTGAAAGCCATCTGAGCCTGACGCATGCTCATGCCCTGCTACTGATTACAGAATAACCAATATTGTGCTTTTATTTATACATATACATAATGTTGACGTGTCCTTGTCAAATGCTTTAGGGGGGAATCCAGGCAAGAGTTGACAGCGACCTGGAGGAAACCTCAGAGGTGGAGGAGGAACGGGAACGTCCAGAAATAGGCTCTGAGAGCGAGAACAGCACGTATGGCCCAACCAAAAAGAAGAAGAAGAAACCTAAGGAGAAGAAGGAGAAGAAGCCCAGGAAGAAGAAGAGAGATGAGGAAGATGATGATGATGACGACGATGATGGGAACCTGAAAGTGAGTCTAGGTGCAAGAGGGCTGACACAGATCGCACCTCGTGGTCTGCTGGATTCTGTATTTTCAATGAAGCTAATTTCAATAGAGGGCCTATAAAGTCGCATTCTTTATCTCTTGATATGATAGTCTACTATCATAGACTAATAATAACAACAATCATTTGGATTTATAGTTCTTTTCACACACCCCAGGGAAGTGACAGAAGCACAGTCTTAAGTCTAGATCTAAAAACAGGGACTCATCACAGATTGAGGCAGGAAGGATCTTTAGGAGACGCAAATGATGATTCATTGATGATCAAATTCATGATTCACGACTAAATTAATTAGTATTTAATTAAACTTTAACACCAACTGTTTAGCTTGTTGTATCTTAGCACTATATTGAACAGTTATTGACTACTAGTACTATGGTAGTTACATAAATATGATAACATAATGTATATATAAACAAATAATTTACATAAGTACAATGTATTTATTTCCCCAGGAACCCAAGTCATCCAGCCAGTTGATGCAAGAGTGGGGTCTCGAAGACGTTCAGTATGGCTTCACCGAGGATGACTATAAGACCATCACAAACTACAAGGCTTTCAGCCAGTTCCTCAGGCAAGCATCTAATTTTGTTAACTGTTCTGTTTCTGTGAATTGTCAGAGACCCTCGCTGACACTTTCAACAAAAACTCCACAGTGAGACCAGAGTGTGGGGAGACGAGCAAACACTGCTCTTTTTATTTGAGCTAGAAAGCTCGGCTGTTGGTATAAAGACTCTGTCTCACCTGGGGCTGTCTGGCTCGGGTAAGCCTCTGCTCCGACAAAGTGGAGCATGGGCTCCTGCGGTGCCCCCTGTGAGTAGTCAGCTGCTTACTGGATGCCTGTGACAGCCGGGAGGCTCTGGGACTCGGTGCTCTGACCCACTATCTTTCACAGGCCAGCGTGCCAAACCTCAAGCTGTTGCCTGACAAATCACAAACATGACATACACACAGCAAAGCAGGGAGAACAAAACTTAAGGGGCACTGGGGTGTCAGCAAATCAAGACCCAGTTCCCTCCAGTGCTGAGGGAAGTAGAAATTACATCAACAGGAATGAAGTGTGACATAATAAAGCTGCTGTTGTTGTCTCCTCTCCCCCCTGGTTTTACTCAGGCCTCTCATTGCCAAGAAGAACCCGAAGATTCCCATGTCAAAGATGATGACAGTGTTAGGGGCCAAGTGGCGAGAGTTCAGTGCCAACAACCCGTTCAAAGGCGCATCTGCCACCGCTGTGGCCGCCGCTGTGGCTGCCGCCGTGGAAACCGTTACCGTGGCACAGCCGACGTCTGTCAGCAGCAGCCAGCCGAGCTCTCAGCTGGGGCCAATCAAAAAAGCCAAAACCAAAGAGGGAAAGGGTAAGGCCCAGTGAACCGTGACAGAACACATATTTTTAAACATAATAGCGAGAATACCACTCGGGTTAACGCGTCTGTGTGTCTCGGGCCTGTGTGTCTCAGGACCAGGAGTTAGAAAGAGAAGCAAGACTGTGAAGGAGGTGAAGAAGAAACCCAAGCCGAAGAAGACAAAATCAAAGTCGGGCCAAAGCGGGAAGAAGAAGAAAGCGTCCTCGGTACGTCTTGTTTTTCTCATTTGAGCTCATTCATCCTCCGAGCTTCTCCACTACTCTGTATTTTTAGTGGCATCAAAGTGACCACGCAGTTTAATGCGCTCACTTTGAAAGTTGGTTTAGTTTATTTCTCGACGTAGCTCTGAGCTCTTCAGTTTGTGTGTGTGTGTGCTTTTCCAGAGTGAGGAGGACTTCCTGGAGGAGTCGGACTTTGATGACATCAGCATCCACAGTGCCTCTGTGCTTTCTGATACCTCGGGGGCCGCCACCAAGAAAAAGGCCCGGCGTGGGCGGAAAAAAAGGAAAAGTATGTTTACATGTCTACGCTCGCCATTCCTCTGCGGTGTGTTTTTTCCCTCCAAAATCCCATTGAACCAGACTGTTTGATTATGGGTAACGAGGAAATTAAAATGTATTTTTTTAAGCTGTATTTGTTTTGGGAATGTTTTCTGAAGGCAGCTCTTTCTCAACAGCTATTGTCCTCACACTCTCATGCACATTTAGAGACCGTTCACTGCAATGTGGAAATAGTTTAAATCTTATACTGCTGCATTTAGGGGAATTTCTGTAAGTGGGAATCGCCTGTGTTCACCTCTTCCTTCACCTCCCCCAGAGGAAGATGGCGATGGTTATGAGACAGACCACCAGGACTACTGTGAGGTTTGCCAGCAGGGTGGAGAGATCATCCTGTGTGACACCTGTCCCAGAGCGTACCACCTGGTCTGTCTGGACCCTGAGCTGGAGAAGGCCCCCGAGGGCAAATGGAGCTGTCCACACTGTGTGAGTACATTAGTTTGATATATTAATATATTTATGAAGTTTTGTATTTTTATGTATTCTAACAATCTGCTACAGTGGTCATCTTGAATTTCCCTCGGGATAAATAAAGTATCTATCTATCTGTGAGAATTTATTTTGGGGGGACAAGTGTTTAAGAAGTGTTTAACTCTCTGCTACAACCCTCACCAAGTCTGTTCCGCCTGTGTCCCTCAGGAAAAAGAGGGTATACAGTGGGAGGCCAAAGATGATGAGGAGGAGGAGGAAGAGGCTCCAGGCGAGGAAGAGGATGACCACATGGAGTTTTGCAGAGTGTGTAAAGACGGAGGGGAGCTGTTGTGTTGTGACACCTGCCCATCTTCCTACCACATCCACTGCCTCAACCCACCTCTCCCCGAGATACCCAACGGGGAGTGGTTGTGTCCGCGCTGTATGGTGAGCTCATATTGCAGTCCCAATACTGTCTAATGCTGCTTATTTAAAAAAATGTTCACCACAGTGCATCACCAGTTAAAAATGTATATATATGGGCAACCTTACCTCAACAATGTTAGCATTCGGTGGTTTTAAAATATAAAAGAAACTAAACTTACATTTACTTTATTCTAAGTTGTACTTTCTCATTTAGTGTAAACTTGAGTTTAACTATGAGTGATCAACATCATCACCTATTTAGATACTGTAGTGTAAGTATGGATTTGCTCGACAACATGTGCTACCCGCTTTAATATTTCAGTTGAACATTACATTAGCACTCTGCTTGAAGGCAGAATGCGTAGGGTTTGTCGGTTGCGGTTTGTAAACACATTCAAAGTTTAGGCCCTCCTCCTGTATCCGTCATTTTCATAGTCTCCTCGTGGATGCTCCCTCGTACGTTGCACGCTGGTATTGCTGAGAGATGACACCCATAAACGTCCTAAACACAGCAAAATAATAAGAAAATACAGTAGGGTCTCTGCAGATACAGGCACCACCTCACACTTCTAGTGGCTTGAGAGTAAGTGATGATTGAGAGGGATTATTTTTGTATGAGTTTGTACATTGTTTTTCCTACTTATGGTGCCTTTGAAGATAAAATTCTGGAAAGGAAAAAATCTGAAACTGTTAAAAGAGAGACAATAGTTAAAGTACAGTATATATATATATTAATTGGTACCTATAGCAACATAAGTAGGTACTTATAGGAACTTAATTATGAGGGTCCTGATAAATAACTGAAGAACTATAATAAGTAAAATATGATTGGTTTCTGATGTATTGAGACGGCCAATTTCACAGAAGAGTTAGTTTAAATCTTTTCATAGTTTGTACAGGCAGTTTAAGCTATCCCATTGTTTGAATGACTCTGTATATTAACATGGACTCTAAGGATGGTTGTTTAGGATGGTAGAGGCTTACTTTACTGGTGTACCTCACCTGCTCTGAATCCCTCCCTATTTTCACCAGGATTTTGTGTGCACTGGTGCTTTGACACAACGTATAGATTACTGCATGTATCACACAACCTCTCCTTTTTTTCTTAGTGCCCTCCCCTCAAAGGTAAGGTCCAAAAGATTCTGCACTGGACATGGGGAGAACCCCCGTTGCCAGCTGAACTGCCTGCAGGCCCTGATGGCAAGCCAAATGATCCACTGACCAAGCCTCCACTCAAGGGCCACCCAGAGAGGGAGTTCTTCGTAAAGTGGGCTGGCCTTTCGTACTGGCACTGCTCCTGGGTCAGCGAGCTGCAGGTGAGATACCAGAAGTAGGTCCATTCTCAAATTAACATTTCTGCTCTCTTCGGCCACAGGAACTATGTGTCCTCTTTGCTAAAAGTGGAACGTGCACAACGAGCCAAGAGAGCTTTCATTGGACCATCTTTTGCAGTTTAATTTAAGATGATAATGCATATTCCTTAGCCATTTAGCTGTCAGTCTTTAAGAAATATGTGTATATAAGTGCACATTGTTTCACGTGTCAAAACATCATACAACGATTACTAAGCAATTCGGAGCGCTCAAACCTAGCTGACATTTAATTTAGTGATGTCTGAACAATCTGTTTATAAACAGCTTTCTTAATTTATTGTCTATCTATATTACCTTCATTGAATCCATTCTGGAAATTAATCAAATTAGATTACATGATGTGGTCTTGTAAGAAAAGCCCTTTGCCAGAGGTGGTGGTGAATGAAACTAAGCACAACTGATTGTTTTGCTTTGCTTCTGGTTGCGCAGTTGGAGCTGTATCACACCGTTATGTATCGGAACTACCAGCGTAAGAACGACATGGACGAACCTCCGCCGTATGACTACGGCTCCGGAGAGGAGGAGCTCAACAGCGAGAAGAGGAAGAGCAAAGACCCCCAGTATGCTGTGATGGAGGAGCGCTTCTACCGCTATGGCATTAAACCAGAGTGGATGGTTATGCACCGGATACTCAACCACAGGTGGCTGCTCACCGTTACACACATTCTTATGTCTTATTAGATCAGGGCTCATACAATGTTTCATTATTTTTTGGACCCAGACATTTGGTTGATAATGAGCTAGTGCTTAGTTTGGTTTATGCTTGCTGTCATCATACCTGCTGATGGAGATTTTTCTTCACCGCACTGCATATTTCAGAATATAGGAGCTGCTGAGTGTTAAAAATCACCTAAAAGGCATAGAGAAGAACAACACTAGTAAATTATTTCCCATACCATTCCATACTTTCCAGGCCTGTAACTCATATGTCCAGCCATGTATTTCAGACATAGATTCAGTACATAGTACGATCATAATTTTTACTGTACGAGTTGCTAAAAGTTGCTCTCTGAGTTTCAGTACCATCCATTTACAGCTACAGTTACAGGAAGGACAATAAGCAACTTCCATGTGATTTTGTATGTAACATGAGTCATATCCCATTAGCAAATGTCAACAAATTCATTTTGAATTTGTCCTTAGAAAAAACGTAATTATTGATTGCTATACAGTCTTTCTACAAGCCCTGAGCTCTCTGTTCTGTTTATGTTTGTTCTTCCCAGTTATGATAAGGATGGTGATGTGCATTACCTGATCAAGTGGAGAGACCTGCCCTATGACCAGTGCACCTGGGAGGTGGATGACTTTGACGTCCCAGAATATGACAGTCACAAAGCTTCTTATTGGGACCACAGGTTTGTTTACACCATTTACATGTTAAAAATCTAAATAAGCACACTGGATAATTAGTTTATTCTGGTTAACCACCTGGTTAATTCAGATTTTTAAGTGCATGGTCCTGCAGCCTACCAGCACCTAATTGTTGTTGGCAGTGCATGAGGGGTTTGGTTTACGAGTTATAGCTTTTACAAGTTATTTTGAACCGTAGCTGTGGTTAATAGTGTGGGAATTAGGCTAAGGATCGCTGGAAAGAGTCTCGGCACTCAAAAATAAACAAAGCATATGCTGCTGTTTCCCCTCTGCCCTGCCCTCTATCTGTGATGCCCCTGTTTGAGCTGTTTGGCTCATCATGTTGCTGCAATTATTTGCCAGGGAACAAATACTAGGTGAGGACCAACGCCCCCTGGTGGTGAGGAAAGGAAAGAGACTCAAAGAGGACCATCAAAAGAGGGAGGTCCCTCCTGATGCTCCCATCATAGATGTAAGTTTGGATATTTAGATGTAGCCCAATTATTTAGTTAGTTGTTTCTTTTTGGAAATACAAGAATGTCATTGGCAGCTTTCTACAGTAAATCTAGTATTACTGTAGGTGTAAAACCCCTAATGATCATGATCTAGCACGATACGCTCATGTAATTACTCTACAAAATACAACTATATTCTCATATCACCAGCCAACCATCAAGTTTGAGCACCAGCCGTGGTACATTAACGCCACTGGGGGAACACTGCACCCATACCAGCTGGAAGGCCTGAACTGGTTGAGGTTCTCCTGGGCGCAGGGCACAGACACCATCCTGGCTGATGAGATGGGTCTCGGAAAGACGGTGCAGACAATAGTGTTTCTCTACTCACTCTATAAGGAGGTAAAGGTGGAAGAATGTCCTCTTTTTCCATGCTCATTTTACATTGCATCACATAGTAGTTCTTTGATTGCAATGTTTTCACTATGATGATACAAATGTTATTGTAGACATAGAACAAAATATAAATGATAAAACCTGTAGTAGACAGTGTGTTCATCCTGTGATGTGAGAAATGTTTAGTTTCTCCTCCTCCTCTCCCTCAGGGTCACTCTAAGGGACCTTTCTTGGTGAGTGCACCCCTCTCCACTATCATCAACTGGGAGAGGGAATTTGAAATGTGGGCTCCAGATTTCTACGTGGTGACATACACTGGAGACAAAGACAGCCGGGCAATCATCAGGGAGAACGAGTTCACTTTTGAAGACAGTGCAGTGAAATCAGGACGCAAGGTGTTTCGCATGAAGGTACCTTACAATCATATGGCTGTTACATGTCACCTATACCTATACGTAGAAATAGTTGGGTTTGGCTGGTTAACTTACTACCTGAAATATGAATTCCCAGTTACAGAAAATAATATTTTCAGCTTTAAATGAGTGCTTTTAGCAATTGCTTTACTTCCAAGGAATACCATAGAAAACAGTGCAGTAGATGTAGTACTAATTTGTTCCCTACCATAGGATCCTGCATCTTAAATGGTCCAACTTAGATACATTATGTTGCTGTTCCTCCTTGCAGAAAGACACTCCTATCAAGTTCCACGTGCTGCTGACATCCTATGAGCTCATCACCATAGATCAAGCCATTCTGGGCTCCATCACATGGGCCTGCCTGGTGGTAGATGAGGCCCACAGACTGAAGAACAACCAATCAAAGGTAAAACAGCATTTTCCGGCACTGATAGCAGCCTGTCCCATAAACAGCGTGGATATTATCAGGCACACAAAAAACAGGAAAGGAGCAGGAACACAGAGAGATATGAGAAGGAAATGTTTGTGCATAAAATAAAAAGACTGATGTCTAATAGGCGATTTTGAGGGTATGACTGGAGCTTCACACTCAGGAAGTTTTACATGCGTCATTGCATTCTTTTTGGAGGCATGTGGGTCATATCTCATATGATGTGCCTTGTTCAGTTTTTCAGAATTCTCAATGGGTATAAGATCTACTACAAGCTGCTGCTCACTGGGACTCCTCTTCAGAACAACCTGGAAGAGCTGTTCCACTTGCTTAACTTCCTCACCCCAGAGCGCTTCAAGTAAGTCCTTCCTCTCTTCTATTTCATCATTCCCCTGTCCTTTGATCCTTCTTGTCTTACCAGTATCTGCTAGCTGGTGCATCAAATAGGTCCCTCCTTAGATTGATAGATAGATAGATGTGTTATTTGGAGGTATGGTTTAATTTAAACACACATAGTTTACCTAGTTTACCGTAGCTTCATTTCAGTATTTTATTCTTCTTTGTGTGACTTCTGATCCATTCAGTAATCTGGAAGGCTTTCTGGAGGAGTTTGCTGATATCTCCAAGGAGGACCAGATCAAGAAGCTCCATGACCTGCTCGGCCCTCATATGCTCAGAAGGCTGAAAGCCGATGTCTTCAAGAACATGCCTGCAAAGACAGAGCTGATTGTCAGAGTGGAGCTCAGCCCCATGCAGAAGTAAGCCCTGGGATTAAAAGAAGAACTAGTAGGAGTTGATACTGCTGTCTTTTCCATCTTATAAACCAAAGATTTTCAAAATGATACAGTGGATATAAAACTGAAAATAAATGCCCAAAAAATTGTGTGACTTACTTTGCACTTTAGAGCAAAACTTCAAATGTAAAGTACAAAAGTAAAACGATTAAAATTGTAGTTATGTGGGTTTTACATGTAAGCAATTACATGTTCCTCATAGACTTGCTACTTTGATATAGGCCTGATTTGGAAAAGCATTTTGGCAAATAATATAATAAACATAGCATGCTATGAAGTATTAAATGGATTTTTTTTTAAGAGTGGAAGTAAGTGATTGTAATTTTCTTCTCATTTCCTGATTCAATCTGATTTCTGACCTCTGACCTGCAGGAAATATTACAAGTTTATTTTGACGCGAAACTTTGAGGCTCTGAACTCCAAAGGTGGAGGGAACCAAGTGTCCCTGCTCAACATTATGATGGACCTGAAGAAGTGCTGCAACCATCCCTACCTGTTCCCCGTGGCTGCTGTGGTAAGGCAGCAATTTTAGTTTTTGATCTCAGTGAGTTCAAAAATGAGTGCATGGAAGAGTGTGGGGGAGATGGAATCATAGGTGTTGGAAATATATGAATGTAGCTTAAAGCCTCTAATCATACTACCACATATATTTCTCAGTTGATGCCTGTATTTGATTTTTGTCTTTGCAGGAAGCTCCTGTATTACCCAATGGTTCATATGATGGCAACCTACTGGTGAAGTCCTCAGGAAAACTGACGTTGCTTCAGAAAATGCTGAAGAAACTCAAAGATGAAGGACACAGAGTTCTCATTTTCTCTCAGGTAACAGTCAAATAAATAATGTGTTTGGGCTGGAAGTCATAGCTCTCATTGACCAGTGGATCAATGAAAATCCAGCCAGACATATTTTGGCTATTCTAATGCCAATGTCATTTGTAGGTGGTAAATCAACTAATATTCCAGACATAAGTGAAAGTGCAGACTGTTCTTAGGTTTAACAGTTCCACTTCCACTGATCCCAGCTACATAAACTTGTAATACCATGTTTGTTACAGATGACAAAGATGTTGGATCTGCTTGAGGATTTTCTTGAGTTCGAGGGTTACAAATATGAACGTATTGATGGAGGGATTACTGGAGGCCTGAGGCAGGAGGCCATTGACCGCTTCAATGGTGAGTTTGTTAATCCAGAATCTATCTGTGTGAGTTTGTGTTAATGCATGTGTCCTTCTACATGGCTTTCACTCACTCTCACAAACCAAGCATATCTCTGCTTTGGTTTTTGTCACAGCTCCTGGCGCTCAGCAGTTCTGCTTCTTGCTTTCAACACGAGCTGGAGGTCTTGGCATCAACCTTGCGAGTGCAGACACTGTCATCATCTACGACTCTGACTGGAATCCTCACAATGACATTCAAGTACTGAGGCTTTTCACGTGGACACTTGCATGCTTTTTGTTGTAGCTTTCAGGCAGAAGATCTTTGATATTATCTGCCTTGTTGGAATGCTTTGATAATCTCCTTAAACTGCTCATTTCAGCTGTTCATTTCTGTGTCAACCCCTGTAACTGTCCCATCTTTACCCTCTCCCAGGCTTTTAGCAGAGCCCACCGTATTGGCCAAAACAAGAAAGTGATGATCTATCGTTTTGTGACGCGGGGCTCAGTGGAGGAGCGAATCACTCAGGTGGCGAAGAGGAAGATGATGCTGACCCACCTGGTGGTGAGGCCCGGCCTGGGCTCCAAAACAGGCTCCATGTCCAAACAAGAATTGGACGACATCCTCAAGTTTGGCACTGAGGAGCTTTTCAAGGATGAAATGGAAGCAGCCCGAACCATGGGTACGTCTATGTACCAAATTTTCACCAAGCTTTTCACTTCCATTTGAGCTTTAAATAACTGTATTATATTTAAACATCACAGTACCGGTAGCCTCTTCTTTAAAAAGCGTTCTCATTTTATGCCATAACATACTCCTGAACTTAGAACAGACACTGAAACATGAGACAAAAATCTAAAATGCCAGTGAATCCATATAATTGTGGTTCAAATCCTTTTTTTCTTAGGTCAAAACATGAAGCGCTTCTCGACAACAACAGGTGACAACAAAGATGGTGAGGAGGGTAATGTCATTCACTATGACGATGATGCTATCTCGAAGCTGTTGGACCGCAGCCAGGACGCCACTGAAGACACAGAGATTCAGAACATGAACGAGTACCTGAGCTCCTTCAAGGTGGCTCAATATGTGGTGAAAGAAGAGGACGGAGAGGTGAGAATGTAACCATGTTCTTCCGCCTGATGAATCAGGATGAGTGGGGTCACACACATGGAAAAGAGACCACCAGTGGGTTGTAGAGCGGACTACAGAGCTCATCAGCTGGTTATTTAACTCTATATGTTAGATTCTGCTGCATAACATTAACTGAGAGCAAGATGACATATTTTCAGCATTACTTTAAAGAGACAGTGTGGTGGTTTGATGTATTATTTTTGTTTTATTTCAACACATGCTTGAGGACACACACGTACACCACAAGCAGAGCGGTGACGTGACACACATTTTTTTGCTGGCTTTAGAAGGCCAGGACGTTGTAAGAGGCATCATTGAACGTTTTTATTTTTAAAAATGCTTTCAACATGTTTGTAAGGCCTTGAGGATACACAAATTGCTTTGTAAAGCTCTGTTTATTTATAATGAACAAACTCACAGGGTATTTTTAATTCACAATTGGTCCACCAGGAACCCGAGCCTCATAACTTGGTGCCTTTTAATGGTGCCAGCATAAAACAATTGTGTCGTAAAGACCATAACCTTTCGGTAATGATGCCTCATATGAAATTCTGGGATGATCCTGTAAGCCCCTGATTCTAGCTTTAGGGTCAACTGTTTGACCACAGATATACAGTGGTTTACACAGTACCTTGCTTCATATTTACTCATCAGAGTAGATATAACCCTTTGCCTTTGTGTGCGCCCGTGTGCAGGAAGAGGTGGAGCGGGAGATCATCAAGCAGGAGGAGAACGTGGATCCAGACTACTGGGAAAAACTCCTTCGCCACCACTATGAGCAACAGCAGGAGGATCTGGCCCGCAACCTTGGCAAAGGAAAACGCATCCGAAAGCAGGTCAACTACAATGATACGACTCAGGAGGACCAAGGTAGGCTCTGTCGACAGACCCATGGCGCTCGTCCATCAGGACTCACATTCCTGGGTTTGTCGTTTTGCCTTATCCCTTTACCGGGACTCATTTCTCAAAGTGTCGACCTTTTTTATTATCATACAGATTTTTCTTGGCTGCATCTTGGAAGCAGCAGCCATGTTCTATTATTGCCACTTTTAATTTTAAATGTTGTTGCCAGGATTTGGCATTCCTAGCCATATTTAAATATGAGCAGAAATATACACGGGCACACGGGAGAGAGGAGATGAGCTTTTTCGCTTATCAGCCATCAGCTTACCAGCTGGCTTGTGGACAGGTGACAGGCAAGCCAAAAGCATATTTCTAGGAAAGAAGGAAGGCATTATTTTTCTAAAACAAACCACTCAATGGGGACCTGTTTGGGGTTTATTGAATGGATCTGTTTCTTGTCTTCTTCAAATGATTTTCCAGCACGCCTCCATCAGTCAATACTAAATGTTGTTGCGAATGGCATTCTGGGAGATCTTTTCGGCTATGAAAACACAGATCATCTAACCAGTCACTGCTAAACTGCTTATCTTAAAGATTTACACTTTATTTGTTCTGCTTAAGATGTTTTTCTGAGCTGTTACACAGGTATATTTTTAGTTTTGACGTTTGTATTAAAGCTTTGAGGATGTCACTCAGATCTTAGCATCAATCTGTTGCCGTAATGAAAGCATATTTGCTGTGTCCAAATAGCACCAGATCTAAATAATTAATGCCCAGTTTATTTATGCGATAATCTGAGTGACATTATGAGAAAACAGCTGATATATTAGAGTATATAAAATTGTACAGACCGGTGTAACACCCTCTTTGCTAGCTTTAGTGTCGATCAACAGCTCTCGTTGTAACATAAACATTGTGATCAACTTCTATCTGACAACCCAATTAGCTAAATCAATAACAGAACAGTGCTACTTAAGCTGCAGCCTGAGCTTCACGTGCTTGGCTTCATTAGTGAGTTAACAAGGTGACATTATCTTAACACAGAATAATTTGCGTGCATCATTTCAGGCAAGAACAGAAATTAATCACCATGTTTATTAAATCCTCTTAGGTTGTAAGTCTCAACAAGAGCTGTTAACGTCCATTAAATCTGAGTGTGTTATGCTGGCCTAAAGCTCTCCTGTGTCTCATGCATTTATATAGTCTTCTCAGTGGGTTCTGAAGCACTTTTTCTTAATAGCTCAACAGTTTCTATGTCTATTGCAGTGACATATAGCCTGTAGTTGCACTTTTAAGAGTGGCTTTGAGGTCCTGACTGCCACAGTTCAACAGTAGTTGACTGTGAGAGTGTAAAGATTTCAAAGCCCACCGCAGCTTAGAGTACACTCTAAGTTTTAAGTGATTGTCTGGCAGAGTAGTCAACTCTCACCTCACTTCCAGAGGACAGAAGTGGTACGAATATGTGCATGCCCAGCTGTAGTGGTCTGTAGTAATCTGCAGTGCCATGGCGCCCTCTGGTGGCCACCAACAGAAGCGAATGCAATGTACTGTTTCTCTTTGATGTGTGGCTCAGAGTGGCAGGATGATCTTTCAGACAATCAGTCGGAGTACTCTGTGGGGTCCGAGGACGAGGACGAAGATTTTGAGGAGAGACCTGAAGGTAACACATAAAAACAAACACCATTTCCTTCATACAACTATTATAGTGCTTTTTATTATCCTTATCCTATAGAGATACTTCTTCTCACAAATTATTAATTAATGCCATGTCGTACCCCTGGTAAGACACAGGAAGGGAGGTCCTTCTGACAGTGCATTTGGTTTAATGTTTTGTAGGTGGACGCAGACATTCTCGTCGGCAGCTGAAGAGTGAGAAAGACAAACCTCTGCCACCCTTACTGGCGCGAGTTGGGGGCAGTATTGAGGTATGAGTTACAGGCTGTAGGTCCTTCATAAGATATATGCATCCTAAAGTGAAGGTATATACTCTGTTCTGAACGAGTAGGAGGAGGCTTTGGAATAAAGGGCCTCCATTGGGCACCATAACAAACTCAGAGAGCGTGTCTTTAAGGTCAACATGTCAGCAAGCATCACTGCCCTGCAGCTGATCCTGTACCCTAGCTCAACACACTGTGGAGCAAGCAGGGACAGAAATAGGATCAATAAATGATCACATTTACAATATGCAAGCAGCATGATGTACTGCAGTGGCTCTCAACCTTTTTGGTGTCAGTGACCCCCAAATTTAGACCATGGACCCGTATTTGATAAGATGTTGTCTCAGGGATCACCGTCTGATAAGATTTAGTTATTCCATAATTGTCTGTACTGTAGAACCTATAAGCAGAATATTCAATAGTAATGTGTTCTTACACATTCTCTCATTGGGCTGACTTTAGTCAAGGAAAAATATTGTATGCCCTACTTTTTTGAGGAGCTACTGGAATGCCCCGACCCCTTGGGGTCCCCAGACCCCAGGCTGAGACCCACTGATGTACTGTATTACTGTTTGAATGTATATATAAGTGAGTATAGTTTCCGTAAGAAACCTGTACACTCAATCTGTACAAGCTGCTCAGTTTGTGTTGTTTTTCTGTTGCTCAGTTCTGACTTTTTGACTTTACACCTTCCCACCTCTGTCTCAGTTAACATTTTCTGTTTAAAGCTTTTTTTTTTTCTTATTACAAGGTTCTGGGGTTCAACGCCCGCCAGAGGAAAGCCTTCCTCAATGCCATCATGCGCTGGGGCATGCCTCCTCAGGATGCTTTCAACTCCCATTGGCTGGTTAGAGACCTGAGAGGCAAGAGTGAGCGTGAGTTCAGGTAATGCCCTCATATTTTCTTAGCCCGCGATAAGTGGTGTTATTTGATTCAACTATAATTCTCTTTTCACACAGTTCAATTTTTAGTCAAGGGCTGCCCGCTATCAACTTAAGAGGCAGCTATGGGCTATTTTTTCACTCCTCACATTTAATTGGTTAGCCCAGGGCCAAGCTTCAAAACACTCATATCAACTTTGTAAAGGTTGCTCTCACCGATTTCAGGGTTACGTCTCTTCAGAATGCACCAGAGCCAAATATTATATAAATAGATATTCAGAATGTAAGTAGCCCCAAGTTGTGTTTGTTATTTCTAAAGTAAAGCACTTGCGCTCAATTACTGCTATCACTACTACAGAGATTACTACTGCTATTGCTCTTATTATTACTTTTAGGGCAAATACTAGTAATATACAAGTACTGGTATTACTTATATACTTATTAACTGTGTTAAAGGGTTACTATTACTATTATTACTATTATTAATGTTGTGGTTCTACTACTTGTTCTGCTACGACCATCACCATTGTCTACTGTTACTACTACCATTATTCTTAACATTATATTCCTGTTATTATCTTGCTTGCATTATTATGACTTACTACCATGCCCACCACTACTGCTGGCTGGCTTAGGGAGTAATGGATTACAGGTAACAGAGTTATGTTATCCAGATACAAAAAAAAGGTAACTGGAGACCATAACAGTTACAGACAAAAGTCAGATTACAGTTACATTTAGTAAAAATTGGAATCATTAGCAGAATTACAATTTTAAATACATTCAGTATTTTAAATATATATACATTAAGATAAAGAGCGATATACAGCCATGCACATGCTCAGTGTACAACACTTCACTCAGGTCTCAAGTGAAACCATAGCTAATCTTACAGTTGCTAATTCATTCTCATGCCCTCTAGAGAAAAAAATGCTTTAACTGGGTGGAAATGTCGCCTTTATTTCCATTATTTTTTCTTTACAGCAGAAAGGGAAACACCATCACAGTACAATGCAAGTTCTGGACTCTAACTGTGAATATGGTCTATAGGCCACTGCCTGAATCTGCTCAATGAAAAGCAAGTTTTTATTTAAAAATACACTCAGGCCTTTTTTCTGGTTACTGACTACATTTATGACATATAACTTGTGATTAGTAGTTGTATTGTCCCAACCCTGACTATTGTACAGTAGTCCAGTACTGCTGCCTCTGCTACTAGTTTGTTTGTTTTTATTTCAGTTCATAGGATCACCACACCATTAAGACACATCTTCCTGTAACACAGACACAAAACCAAAATAAAAACAGCTACGAATAGTACAAGTGCTTCTGCTACTAGTGCTATTTAAAATGTGGTGTTAAAATATGGCGTTATTGCTGGTAACCTCAGAGGAATCACTCTCATCACATGTACTGTTAAGTGTTTTTTTTCCCCCATCAGGGCCTACGTGTCTCTATTCATGAGACATCTATGTGAGCCGGGGGCAGATGGAGCAGAGACCTTTGCTGACGGAGTCCCGCGTGAGGGACTGTCTCGTCAGCATGTTCTTACCAGGATCGGAGTCATGTCCCTTGTCAGGAAAAAGGTACTGGTTATTCAACCAAAGACATCTTTAACTGAATACCAAGTCCTCTGCTGGATTAGAGAAAGTAGGTCAAACTCTTCTGGCAGAAGCAAACGTAGGAAAGAGGAAAAAGTAGTCATTGTGTACGCCCCTGTTTTTAGACATCATAGAAACCAAAATGTAGATGATTTCTTGGCTTCCTTTTCCATATCCTGGGTAAATAAAAAGACATGGCTTCTGGATTAGTAGTAGTAAAGTCCTTCCAAAGTGCTTATTGATTTCTAGCTGGTTTCAAACTAGTGATTTAGCTACTCAATCTGGTTGCACCATTAAAACTTCAGTAATATCTTAGCTCTTATAGACTTCTGCAGTTGGTTGCTAGGAAACGTTTGTAGTGCAGTCCAATCAAAAGCACTCAATTATGTAAACAGGAAGTCACTGTAGCATCACCAGTTATAGAATAATTCCCCAAAAATACAGTTTTTGTTTTGTAAATGTGTTTCAACTAGCTTTGTTTGTATTCATTTAGAATGAGTGGGAAAAGTCCAGTTACCCTAACCTAACCAACGCCAATTGGTGGTTAAGTCTAAATACTATTGGCAGAATGTTTTGTAATTTGAAGAATAGGTCTGATCGTGTGTTATTTGTTAAATGTTATTTGAAAATTCCCAGTGCAATTCCCTAGTGCTAACGAATTTGGGCTCGGCCATATTTGCCATTTGGTTCAGCTACCTACACTATCTATATAAAGACTAGTTAGTGTAGTGCAATCCATATTGAATAAGTGATGTGTAAATCTCCACACAGACTTTAGTATTTATTGTATTTTGAACTTGTGTGTTTGGGTGTAGCTGGAAATTAGCTACTGTTTAGCTTAATCTTGTACAGAACTTCTTTTTACTACTTTTTTTAGACTTAAATAGTTTTTAATTCATATTGTTTGTACATATAACTTGGCTAAATTTGAATTCAAGAAGAGTTAGTGCAACTGGATACAGACACATAAAACTACTGGTTCAGTATTCCACATGTTCTTTACAACAGAGCCCTTCCTAATCTCTTATTCGAGGAAAGTAAGACAGCATGAAAGGGCAGGATTTTCATTCTGTTGCAGTTGAACGAATCTCTTTTTTGTAGGTGCAAGAGTTTGAGCATGTAAATGGAAAGCTGAGTTCTCCAGATCTAATTCCCATCGGCATGGAGCTGAAGAAGCTGACTGAGAGTTTATCTTCTGATCCCAACACCCCTGTGCCAGCCAGCCCTGTCGCTACACAGCCGGGCACTCCCGTCCCGCCAGGTTAGAACAAAGTGTCTGCGCTGGTCATGTTTTATTCTTACCAGACTGTAAGGTAAAGTGCGTGCTTAGAAAAAGTTTTTGATAAAATGTTTAAAAAAAAGTTGTTTTCTGGATTGTAGAGAAGACGGATTCTCTCTTGGGTACTGCTGAGGACAAGGAGACCACAGAGCAAGATAGCAAGAAAGTGTCAGAGCAGGAAGTGAGTCCTTTTTTTCTTCCACTATCCATCACTTTTATTTCTATTCTCCTTTATTGTCTTGTCCATCATCTCATGGTTGATCACACTTTAACCACACTCATCTTGTCATCCTCAAACACTTCTGTCAAACTTAGACACCTTTTAACTCGTCTCTCTGCCCTCTACCAACTTTCCTCTTTCTCCTCGTCTTACCCTGTCTGTTTTTCCCTCGGCAGGCTTTCAGTGCAGAGCCAGCATCTGTACCTGAGAAGGCAGCTGACAGTGAAGAGAGCAAGGCCAGCACAGAGGAGAAAACAGGAGATGAGAGGGACACAACCGAGTCACCCTCTACAAAGACAGAGCCATCTGCCAACCCAAAAGAGTCTGTTTTGAAACAGACCGAGCTGTCATCCAGTCAAACCTCACCTAAAAGTGAGTGTGTATGATCTGTGTGCTGCAAATTTTATTTTTCTGCAAGGTTGTACTTTATTTAATTGAGCCCTTCTTTGATACCCACAGTGGATCCCTGCAAAGAAACAGAGAGGTCCTCAGAAAAAGGAGATACTGATTCTCCTCTGGCAAAAACTGAAGACAAGGAAAACAAGCCAGGTATACATGCTATATATCCTTTAATTAAACAGGTGCAAATGGTCAAATAACTGTGTTTGTTTTGGAGTCCATTATATAGCTATTTCTTTGAAGAAATTGTCTGTGTCATTTATGTTACTGTAGCAGACGATGTGAAGAGTGAGGATGCATTAGAGGGTCGATTGAATGGAGACAAAGATACTTTGGATGAGATCGATGAGAGCAGGAAGGAGGACAAAAATGGATTCAAAGCCAAGTTCATGTTTAATATCGCTGATGGAGGTTTTACAGGTAAGAATAAATCTGACTTTGAGCCTAAATGAGCCAGGCATTGACCAAAGAAGGCCAAAGTGTCATTTGTGGCAACATAGGAATGAGAAGTAGAAACTATTTATTATTTTCGAAAATGAGTAATCTGTATTCAAAATGTTGAATTTATTAAAAATAGTTCCCTCATAGGAGAGCAGGGAAGTGTCAAGACAGTTTTCATATGCAACCCAATTCTAAATGCACATTATATTATTATGCACCCAGTTAAAGGTCCAGTGTGTAACATTTAGGAGGATCTATTGGCAGAAATGAATTATAATATTTATATGCATGTTTTCATTAGTGTATAATCACCTGAATATAGGAATCGTTATGTTTTCGTCACCTCAGAATGATCTGTTTATACCTACAGGCGGCTGTACTGTGGAGGCCGCCATGTTGAACTGCTATGTTTCCACAGTAGCCCAGAAGGGACAAGCCAAACACTGGCTGTAGACAGCAGAGAGACAAGACTGTTGTGGTGTTAAAGACAAATGAATACACAGTGAATAATGAAACAACTGACAGGACATTATGAAATGGGCATATTTTCTGGGTCACAGCGGGAAGCTTAATGTCATTAGCTCACTGAGACACCTTAATTCAACTTCAGTAGAAAAAGTGACACCAATAATGTCTAGTAAAGGGATGCTTGTACACTGTCCAAATGAATTAAAATGGAAAGAGGACACTGTGGAACTAACTCATGTCTGAATGCTGAGTGTTTGTGTATCTTCCGGTGTCTCACTACAGGTTGTTTATTTCATGCGCCACAATGAAATTGCTGTATGAACTTGTTTATGTTATTAATGTGATCTTGATTATTGCTTTGTATTTTGGTAAAAATTGTCTGTCTACACACGTCCCTCGTCAGAATTGCACACCCTCTGGCAAACTGAAGAGCGAGCGGCGCTGTCTTCTGGAAAGATGCATGATATCTGGCACCGTCGCCATGACTACTGGCTGTTGGCTGGCATCGTAACGTATCCTTTCCCAGATGTAGGAACGAGAAGCTTGGCATCTGGAAAAGTAATGTAATTACTTATGACTGGGGGAGTTGCAGTCGAACAACTGATATTTACAAACTGCGAGGAGCCATATAAAGCTACGTCTTCCACAAACATACCCTTGATTTTTATTTGAAGAATTTTATGAGGTTCTGTGCCCTCATTTGTTTTCCTTGACCAGGAATCTATCTCAGACATGGCTATGCTCGCTGGCAAGACATTCAGAATGACCCACGCTATGCTATTCTGAATGAACCCTTCAAGACTGAGATGCATAAGGGCAACTACCTGGAGATGAAGAACAAGTTCCTGGCTCGCCGCTTTAAGGCAAGCTGAGTCTTCCTAATTAAAAACAACTACCTAAAGCTGAAATAATTAAAGGATTAAAGGATTTGTTATGTCTGAAAAATTGAAACACACTGTCTCTTAAATTGCATCTCCCTCTGCCTGTCACTCTCTTTTTCTTTCCCTCCCTGGCTCTCTGTAGTTGTTGGAGCAGGCTCTGGTGATTGAGGAGCAGTTGAGGAGGGCAGCTTACCTGAATATGACCCAGGACCCGAGTCACCCGGCCATGGCTCTCAACACTCGCTTCACTGAAGTGGAATGTCTGGCAGAGTCTCATCAGCACCTGTCCAAAGAGTCCCTGGCCGGGAACAAGCCTGCCAATGCCGTGCTGCACAAAGGTCTGTGGTCCAGTTTCAAAAATAGCAGCAGACGTGATTGGCAGAATTTCTGCTAATACTTTTACAGGGAATAATTACTGAGATAATTTTTTCGTAAGACATCTGTCAACCCACGGGTCGTTTATTCTGTGTTGTGTGTAAAATCATGTTGTTCATGAAACATTTGCTAAAAAGGCATGTTTAAATCCCCTAAAATCCAGCAGGATTATCAAAATTTCACTACTACTGTGTTCATAAAACATGTTTATTGAGTACCTGGTCATATTTTTTCTTTTGGCATCCTTTCATATGCTGCTCCATTGGAATAAGATGGATTTTTAGGTAATGTAAAACACTGCAAGACATCCATCATATCAAGTCATTTTTTTTGTAACTGATTGATGAAAAAGTCTTATTGTATTAAAATAAGGGAAAGATCGTATAGCACAATAATTCAACATCTTTTTTTCAGGCAGTTGACCGCCTCACTCTTTCTTGATTCAAGATGCAGACACTTATTTGTAGAAATTCCCAAAAAACAAGATTATTTTAATTGGAAACAGGTTTATCCATCCGTCCAGACAGTAAATGGAGTTCGAAAGGACGTGCATAAAGATGTCTTCACACCACTGCTTTGTGTAGAGCATCTAACAGGCAAATCCTGTTTGAGGCAGTGGCTTAATTTTCTGTTAATTTGTCTCACTGCCACAACATGCTTACAGTGATTAGTAGGATGGAAGTTTGGGAAGAGGCCAAGACCAAAGGCTGTGTAAAAGTTGTTAAAATGTTAGCGTTTAAGAAATGTTGCAGTTTGTGACTCTAATTGATTTATCTGTCAGTGAAACATTTTATGGTATTTAGTTCCTGGTAATTGTTCATTTCAGGCCCTGGGTCACACAATTATTAGAAATGTTTCTGTTTCTGAATGATATTAGACTACTTGCACTATTTTTGAATCAAGTGTGAGGTTTTAAGAACCTTTGTCTCATTGATCTTTCCTCCCTAAATTATACAACAGGTGCAGGCATTACATTAGTGTTGACACAACTAAATCCCCTTTTTCTGATATGGTGTCTGTGTGTGTGTGTGTGTGTGTGTGTGTGTGTGTGTGTGTGTGTGTCTTACTCTTACAGTGCTCAACCAGCTGGAGGAACTTCTGAGTGACATGAAAGCAGATGTGACACGACTGCCCAACATGCTCTCCAGGATCCCGCCGGTGTCAGCCCGTCTGCAGATGTCCGAGAGGAGCATCCTGAGCCGCCTCACCAGCCGAGGAAGCGAGCCTCCGCCACAGCAGGTGAGATGGGACGCGATCATCAAAAAGGTCAGGATGGCTTCAGAAAACTCTATTAACAAGTAATTAATTCTTTGGTTGCAAAGTCAAGACTTCTGTTTGATTTCCTTGATAAAACAAGTTAAAGTTCAACTGAAATAGTTTCTTTTAAGATGGATAATTAAGAATTACGATTCCTTTCCTTAATGGTCGGACTTGGCTTGTTATTACTTAGCAGTGCAGGCTCGTGGCTCAATAGTGCGAGGAAACAAGGCTCACTAAAATGTGGAGAAGAGCTGAGCTGAGTAAATTTAAAAGATAAAAGGCTGTGGCCCAAAAACTTTAAAGCATTCTGTAGTCACGACTCAGCTACCGCATTATTCCTACAAAAGCCTGTGGAGACTATCCGTATCCCCCATGGAAGAGTTTCCCCAGGTGTAATGGGAAAAAAAAAGAATATCCCTTAAGTTGTTTACTTTCACCGCTGAGCTCCACATTTGAGTCCCAAAGGATTGAACAAAGGCTGTATGGTCTCATTACTTTCATCTCTCCTGCACCTGTTCACCACAGTTGAAAGTTTGTGTTTTATTCTCTGTTATACAAGAGATCATTTCAGTCAAGCAGCGTGATTGGTCATGCAGTCAGACTGTGCTTTTTTGGTTGCTATGCCAACTCTTGTCGTAACCAGGGAAACAGTCTGCAATCTGACTTGCTCTCCTTTGTTTTTTTTTCTTATTTGCTCACTTTTCTCTGACAGAGTTACTAAAATGTGCTAAATGTTGGATGGAAGAATGAATGCATGCTGTGTCCCTGTAATCATAGACACGCTCTCGTTATTATCCTATCAAAGAGGTGTGGTTGTAACAGGCAGGATAACGTCTCTCTTATGTTTGTTTCTCAGCCTTTCAGTCAGGGTGGGTTTGGCTGCTCCCAGATGTACAGCAGCAGCTTTGGTGGAGGATTTAGAGGACCAGGTGGACAGCCCATGGTCAACTACAGTCAGATGCCTCTGGGACCCTACGTCAGCGGTAAGGACCAACATATAAAGTAGGATGTTGCATCACAGGTGACGTAAAACAGGTGGGACTGGAGGTTGTTCATCCAACTCAAAGTTACTGTGAAGGATACCACTTTACCATTTATATCATAACAATTTTATAATATATTTATCATATGATAAGACATACATTCCCCCAGAAATACCAAAATGTCCCTATTTCTGTGTAAGTACCTCATCATATTTATTATTTTGGCATCCTATGCTGCTCCATTCAAAGCAGTTGCTATGCTTTTTATATTTCGTAATTCTCACTATAATATGCTAAGAAAAGTTAAATATATTTATCTTGTTAAAATGAACTACCAAAATATGAATTCTCTTCCCTCTTTAGTGTCCACTAATGGCCCTCCACCCCCTACAAGCCATCTGGACAAGAAGTCACTTGAATCCTTGAGAGACGTGGCTACGCCTGACCTCAAGTCGGGCAAACCTAGTGATGTCATCTGTATTGAGGACTAGACCAGCTGTGTAACACTGACCTCAGGTCAGAAACTCCCAGGTATGGATTCTGTATGGATGACAGCTGCCCATCTCTTCCACCACATCCTCCTACTTCTCCTGCTCCTTCCTGACTTAAAAATCTACAAAATCAAGCTGTCTGTCTGCGGATAAGGCGATTAACTTTTTGATTAATGCAGATGTATCTATCTTAACAATTGCACTTTTATCTTTCAAGGATTCTATAGAAGTATTTCAGTAGATGTTTGCTTTTGTTTACCTGTGCTGGAGAGCCGAAGATTAGGAGGGAAAATGAAGCAGCTTTTCGGAAAGAGGAATTTTTTTTCCAGCCCTGCACTACAAGGCAGAACTCAAGCAAGTTGGCATGACTGAGTTTCAGATGCTCTTGATTGGGGCTCATTCTAATCTTGGAATGTGTGTTTTGTTCGTGCCAGCCTCGAATTTGTCATTCTGCGTGCCCCCTGTTGCTTTTATCCATCTGCCTATTCACTGTACACTGTGACTGTGCCCACTGGAGCTTGTTCTCTGTGAAGAGGAGTGGAGTTAAGGACGTCTTCAGTCATAGTTTGATAGGAGGCTGTTTTCCTGAGGGCCGATATTGTTACTTTAAATGAATATGTGTTTTGTCATTCATGTAGTAACCAGTGGATAAATTATTGATTTGAAAGCATCAAAAACTATTATCATGTATGCAGTAGCTGGACACAGTCTGTCTGAATCCTCTAAAGACTGCCACCCGCTGGTAATTTGGAGAAAGTAATCTCTGCCAAACCTGCAGATACACTTGACTGCAGTACCAGTAACCTGTGAGGGTTGGCTTCTTGTACTGTATATACTCAGAGACTGCTGTTTATTTTACCTCACATAGGTCTAATCATAGTGAAAATATGTATACATACAAGGATGAAATCAGAAGCCTGGCTTGGCGTCGTACATGAAGATCAAGCAGAGAAGAAAACTGCTGCAGGAGTGGCAAAAATGATTTTTAACGCATTTCAGAGAAGACTGAGTATTTCTGTGTATGGTACAATATTTGTGATTCTTATTATATTTGAATGTTAGTAGTGGCTGTAGAGCTTAACCCTGGGGCCATGACCAGTGGGACTGCACTATAAACAGGAACTCATCTGGTCTACATCCACATACAGGGCTGTTCAGGCCTGACTGAGAACAGAGTCCTGAGTGGAGAGTGGCTTTTTTCCTCTTAGGTACATCCCAGGGACTTTCCGGGTTCCCTTTCATTGTTATAACTGAATAAGAACATATGTGCTTATGGCGCAGTGTCACCTTAAGTCTAGTATTTGTCTCTTTCTGTTAAGGTAAAATAAGATGTATTTGGTCACTTGGTGCCATTAAAGAAAATGATCCAGTATGATTTGTTCTTTGATGCAGTGTATTTCCTCCACGGAGGTGAAGACTGTAATTGGTGGTGTCACAGTCTAAACCTACATTTGAAGGAATGTTCTCTGTACATCAGCTTCTAAGGACCAATGTTGCACAGCATTAATCTTTAGATTATGTCTTCACTTCCAGTTTCCTCAGTTCTGTTTGGGTTCTTTCGAGAGTGTATTTTGCTGCCTATTGCTTTACCTGGTGTGAAGACACATTAGCATGGTATAGCTACATATCTTGTCCATTCCCTCTACTACTATTATGTGCTAAAGTGACTGTCCACTAAGTAAAACAATCTTTTATAAATTCAAGCTTACTATATTTCCTTTTCTATGAAGGCATTGCTCGAATGTTTGGACTCCAAGTGCAAATTGCTATTGCCATAAATTTGTCTTTTTTTTCTTTTTCCAAAGACCAGTGGCGTTACCTGTTTGTATTATTATTGCCATTGCCACAGCACTTATTTGACATTGTTTGGATGATGATTGTGATTGGACTAATCTAAACTGAAGAGGTAGAGTTGTACAGAGTTGTTGAGTGTATTTTCTTACTCTCCTTTTGCCACTTCAAATGGTTGTCCTGAGGTGCTCTCTTCTGACCCCTTGTCACTAACTTAGATTGTCACTGCAACCTCCTCGCCCATCATTTCTCAGACAACATGCTTTAACTTTACAACTAAAATTCAGTTTCAAAACATCAAATGAATCTTGAAGTGCATCATATCAGTTTTTGCTCTTCTTTGTTAGTGTTTATCAGTGCTGTTTTGTTCACTGTGTTTCTGTTCATGCCATCAATTACTTGACCATGACATGTATTAGGTTTCTTGACAGATAGAACCTCAGAAACATGTAAATACTTGAAAGATTTTTCAGAGATAAGTCCATCTCATACAGATTTATGTATCAAACTGAAAAAAAGATGAATGTCTGCTGGATGGTGTTGCCATAGAACTGCAGTGTGCACCGTATGTGCTCATCAGTCAAAATCATGTCCTTTTCCCTCTGGAGTGATGACCATGAGATGACGTCAAAAACACAATACTCCAATGAAATGCAATCAAACTGAAGTCAGTATGAATGTAATGTCTGTTAGAAAAAAAAGGCTTCAGTCTAATATTATAAATATGTTAACAATGTATGTACATGCTTATTAACATGGCTTCAAAAGCTACCAAAAGACCCTGATAAAAGGCACCTTTGTTGCAGTGAATGCACAGCATGTGAAGCGTTTGATATGACGGTTCACTTTGGGGAGGTGGTAGTGTATCTAGCATTTACAGACAATGAGCTCCAAGCAGTGTTATGGTTCTGATATTTGTGCTGTATAGCAATTGAATGAAAAAGTGAATTGTCATCTTTTTATTTGTATTCTGTGTATTTGTTCAATGTGTTTTAATAAATCTTCTGGACAACATTGTGTGATTTTTGTCCGCAGATGAGTGAAGAAGCATACAAGTGAATATGAGCTGAAGAGGACTTAAGATTGAATTAACGCAATTGACTTTCTTGACCTGACCTCGCACATTACCTTGTTTTCATTGTGCAGCTCCTCCCAGCGCTGCACGTCACAATCTGCATGAGCCTGCAGTGCTGTAAATGTGATTAGAGGCTGACATAGAAACACTGGTGTAGTCTGTAAGGGACAAAAATAGCAGACAGAGGCCATTCACAGAGTAGACACAGACTAGTCCAAAGACAAAAGAAAAAATATAATACTAAGATTATAAATCAAAGTTTAAAAAACCCAAGCACCAAGGAAATGTACCTTTATACAACAAAATTAAAGTTTTCAGTCCCTTCATTTCACAAACATAGAAATAAAATTAAGATTAAATGTATAGTAGAATAACATATACAAAAACTATATAAACAGCTATTTATATATATATACGCACATAATTCTGAGGAGCATTTATTTAATTTGCGTTTGGAAACCGCAGCAAGATAGTGATGAAAATATGTTTTTCATCTTCACATAAAAGTTCTACATTTGAGATACATCAATCATCCATCCACTCTGACACATAATCGGTGTAAACACAATAAACACTAAACACAGTGACAAACTCTCACTCTCACTTGGGAGACAAATTTCCTCTTGTGGACAATAAAGTTGAAAATTGAATGTTGTAGGTAGCTGCTGTGTAACAGAATAAGCAACCCAATGAGTAACACAGACAAATAATGACAAAATAAATACCTTGGGCAATGTGTGTCCAAACGCAATAAATCAAACTCAAACTAAAATGGAAGTTAAAGAGACAAACAGAAAATGTTTCCGACCTCAGAATCTTCCAGGGAGTGTGGGATAATTTCTCTGCTTTTATTGCTATTTTTGTATCAGTAAAAGCTGCAATTTAAGCTAATGCAATCCCATCATTATATTCCTTTTTCAAGTTGGAAACCAGAGTGCTTATTTAATGTTTCTGAATACAGTATTTTTCATCCAGCTCATTTAAAGACTCCTGATTAAACTATACATAAACACACACAGTTTACATCGTCACCAACAAAATGATGGCACAGAGTTTGTGCTGTTTTTCTGTTCAGTGTATTCAATCCATATTCTTAGGTTTCATTAAACTAAGACTTTTATTGAATTCTCCTTATTCTCAATTCTCAATTATTTCCTGAGCAACAGAATATAACACAACATTCAACATATGATACTTTATGTAGCATAATGTATGTGTTGAATGAATAAATGAATGAATGAATGAACACTGGTACTGTTCTCTTTCATACTAGTGTTATCATGTTGTGCTACGTGTTCAGATTTTGTGTGTGTGTGTGTTTGTGTGTGTGTGTGTCTGTGTGTGTGTAATGTACAATGTATCTCCAGAGATGTCCCAATTAAATAAAGGTTTAATAAAAAACAAATACTCTAATAAAACATTTGTACACATTAAACCTTATTAAAAGAATCAGTGTTTTCATTTTATACAAACCAGTTAGTGAATTATTATTATTTTGCATATGCAAAGTATTATTTTGCCTTTGAAAAATGTGATCACATGTATGGCTGCTCACTTCAAATCTCCTTTGTGTTACTAACCACAAACCAGTTGCCGCCCTGTCTTTTTAAACCTCAGCCATTAATGAGAAATTCATGCGGATGACACAGTACAGTGTGAACAGACAACTTCAGCCCTACACGGAAGTGCTCTGAGAAAGCATTGCCCCCAATTCCTTTTGTCCAGCCCACTTGTCCTGAATAACTCCCCTGATTGGTACAAATAGCCCCCACTAGGCTTTTCATTGGCCGCATGCTTGACTTTGCCACTCTGCCATTGGCCGGTTGTGTCTGCGAGCTCTCAGCCTGCTTTGTGCCGCTGTCTGGGCAGCAGCAGGGGTCTGGAAGAGTGGGAGGAGGGAGAAAAACCAAAGAAAGGACAGAATGAGACCGGAGGGGCTGTGGGGGGTGAGAGGACCCATCTAAAAAAAAAAAAAAAAGAGAGGGACAGAGAGGGGAGATAGAGGGAGAAACAGCACCGGAGAGCCGAGAGAAGCGTTGAGAAAAGGGGAGGGAGCAGAAGGGTTACCTCATCTAGAGCTGCTCGTGCACACGGTGCAGGGGAGAAGTTGTGGGAAAGTAAACAGCAGAGGAGAATTCCAATCCGCTCTCAGCCACTCGCAGCCCCCGCAGGAGACTAGAAAGATGAGTGTACTGGAACCGGCAGTGTGGTAAAACCTGACAGTTTATGGGAGGTTACCAGGATTAAAGGGTCACCAGGGAGTGCCTGAAGCTTCTCGGAGGACACACTCACTACTGAGAGACGAGGAGGTGAGAGGCGTATATATATTTGTTGTCCTGGAAACACTTTCCCTCTTCCTTTCCTTCCTTCATTCTGTGTCTCCTCTTTCTCCCTCCTCTCTCTCAGCATGGTTAGCATGTTGCAAAGACAGCAGCTTTGTCTAAAGGAGCCATTGATGGAGTGGAGTTTGGGGGGCGGGGGTGTGCTGGTTTGTCCCCTCTCTGTCTCAGTCTAACAGTTACAGGGGGCAGCTGAGAGGACGAGGGGAGAGTGGAGGAGGAGATGATGGGAACGGCAGATACCTGTGTGGCCCTTTGGCAGAGTACTCACCATCATGGACGATTAAGCATGAGCCGGCCTGAGAAAGCTACAGAGCGTGAGGCCTTGTTATGATAGCAGCAGTTCCTGAGACAGACACCAGGAAGGATGAGTGAGAGATTGGCGGCTCATCCCAGACCCACACCTCTGGCCGGCTGTTTTTCTGCAGCACTGCACTGCTTCTCCCACAGCCACGGGCTATAAAAAGAGATTCCCTGGCCTGGGCCTGGCCTTAACCATTCTAGTTTGACGGTTGCTTCCCGGAGTACAATAGCCCCTCCCAGGATGGATTTCACGCTGCCTCAATACTCTGAGCAGAACAGAGAGGGGAGACAGGGAGGAGAGGGGTGAGGGGGGAGCTAGGGGACCTCCGACCAATAAATTTGCATTTTGGGCTAGGGCACTGTTTTTGCCTCACTTGCCGGATGTCCAAGTGCCTTTAAAAAAAAAAAAAAAAAACTCCATGGGCTCACTGTATCAGATTTTTTTGTCCTTAGTCACAGTCCAGCACTTTCAACAGACATTAACAATCCATGCATGCATGGCCTGAAGCTACCACAAAGACTGCACTATGAATGGGAACTCTCTCCCTTTGCCACACATTCAGCCAGGAAAAAATGCACTCACACAATCATATGTACACACATGCAAGGCCTTAGTGCTCGAGTACACAATCGGTCATTTGATAGTGGTGACACGCCTGTCAAATGTTTACTGGTGTACTGTATTACACGCTGGTTACATTCCTCTGGGAATGTCAGATAATTAACTAGAAAAGGGTGAGTTCAGGGAAGTTTATAAGTTGAGGCTTCTCTACAGTGTTTTGTTGTCACACTCGCATCACGTCGTAGAAAGGTGACTTGTCTTATTTCCTGTAAGCTCTTCTGATAAACTCTGAGGCCAAAGCTACTCAACCACACAGGTTAGAAGAACAACCCGTAATCCCCACCTAATGTGACCTCGGTGAGATGTCTCCTGTCTAACTGAACCTCCTGGACCTGGTCAGGCTTGTGGTAACAGCAGGTTTATTCCACATCTGCATCGAAGGACAATAGAGTAGTCATTCCTTGTGAACAAATAGCGCATGCTCTATAGTGGCAAATCCTCTGTTGTTTTATGGATTACAGTATGTTTAAGATATATATATTTTTTAATCTATACTTAATATCAAAACAGAAACTGTCCCTGTCTTAATCTGAAAATCCCAAAAATGTAAACAAAAGATTTCTCACACCGGGCTGTTTTCCTTTTTTTTTAGTAACGATTATGTAACTTAATTACATTACAAGACACAGAATGCAAGTAAAGTAGAGCTGCAACAGTTAGCCAATTAATTAATTGTCAACTATTAAATTAATCTGCAACTATTTTGATAATGTATTCATCTTTTTCAGTGGTAGATAAAGTACCTGAAAGTCACAAAAATACAGATATCTTACAAGAAAATGACTTTGGTAAATGTTAAAGTCACCAATGAGAATATTACTTGAGTTAAAGTATATGAGATTTACTGTACTTAAGTATCAGCAGTACATTTCTGATATTAAATCTACTTGAGTATTTAAAATTAAAAGTACAAGTAAATACTGTTAATAAAAAGCAATCAGTCAGAATAATGAGAATTATGTTTATTCTTTACACCACCTTGAAGAACAGTTGAAGAAAAATAATTTCTTCAAAACATAAAGAACAACTTAACTGTAAAAATAACAATGACTGTCCAGTTTAATGTTAATTTAAGTCCATGGTAATTAGTACCTGAGATTGTTTTGGGATTGCCAACCAATACCATCCCAACATCACTGACAGTCTGCTTCCATCATGAACTCTGTCTCATTGTCCAGTGGAATTGTACTCATGTAGTTGCATCTGACACACTAGATTTAAGTGAGTGATTAACTATTAATCTAACTTACTTACAAGCTAGGACCACACAGATTTACCAAAGATGCAAAGATGGTTACAGTAAATGTATTTGAATACATTTTATTTAGTGTGGTAAAAGTGACAGAAATATGAAAAAATCAAGTGTAGTTCAAAAAAAGTACAATGTATCATTACTTTGTTACCTTACAGAACTTTGTAAAGAAAAAATGTCCAAATTCTCTGATTTCAGCCTCTTAACTGTGAATATTTTCCCCCAGTGACAGTAAACAGTGTTGATCAGTCTGATATACAGTGGGTACGGAAAGTATTCAGACCCCTTTAAATTTTTCACTCTTTGTTTCATTGCAGCCATTTGCTAAAATCAAAAAAGTTCATTTTATTTCTCATTAATGTACACTCAGAACCCCATCTTGACAGAAAAAAACAGAAATGTAGAAATTTTTGCAAATTTATT